ATTTTCAAACAATAGTAACATTACAACTACGGCAATATCCTATGAGGCAATCTATGGGGGAGGCCTATGTTCAACAGTGGACTTTAATAGGCTGTAGTGGATGGATGTATAGAAGACAATCTACCAGGAGCACATGACTCACTGAGAGGTGAATTTTCAAATCAACAGTAACATTACAACTATGGAAAATATCCTATGAGGCAATCTATAGGAGGGGCTTATATTCTGCAGTGGACTTTGTATTGTAATCCATCATCGGATCGCGAAGTAAAACTGGAGGGGTGGTGCGAAAAGGAGACAATCGTTTCTGGGCCCACTAGAAATTTTAACTTAATTTCATTATACATAAAAAATCATACCAATATATTATAGTAAACGGACTAAAGATTTTATGAAAATCTAACCGGAATCATGAAATCTGAAAAAAGAGTTGTTTTGATAATGTTCTGGCTAATGTAATATGAAAATAATGTGTGTAACGAATGCCCTACATAGTATATTATCTATGGTAACGAAGTACGAACTACTAAAAGGATTTTCCATCGATCTTAAAGTACCTTTAAATGCTGAATATACATACAACTTTGTTTTATACTATTAATTATTGACAGTGCAATGGTATTTTAATAATACCGGTGAAAACTACTAGACAATCTCTTTTAGTTTTTTACGTGGTAGAGCCATGCTGCAGAGCTGTCTATGTGGGATGTCTATGGGCTATAGCATTCACTTACCATCACGCGGAAAAAAAATTATCTACCCGTCAACCTTTGGATGCAGAGACAAAACTAACAAAGTGCGTAAGTTGATAAAAGCTAGAGACATAAATTAAAGTAAATATATGTTAAAACACAATAATACTTATACCCCATACATTAACTTGCATTTCGTCAATTCGTAAACATATTTTAATATATACATAATATATAATAATAATAATATCTTTATTTCGACCAACAAGGATCATATTACATAATTAATATAAGTATATGATAACATAGCCTATTGTTAATAATTAATTATAATAATAAAGAAAAGTTAAATTAATATAAATAATTAAGAGAATAAATAAAAATCTTTCAATAAGAACCTTTTTTGATTTCATTATATACATAATATATATTATATTATATACATAATATTTACATAAATTACGTAGGTACATATAAAAATAAATGGATGATATATTTATGTAAACACGAATGAGCTACTAATGAGATGATTCCGCCATTTTTAATAGCGTAACACGCTGCTATTTTACTAGTGTTAAATATGTATTCAGAGGTGATAATGCATCTGCATTTTGATTCTCAAATGGAGATAAATATGCGCTACTTTATACATTAACCATCAGATGTATTGTGTACTCGTTTGTTACTGTTCATTGCATAACCAATTAGCATGTTTTTGAAGTGAACATTTTTTTTAGAATCGTTGTAATTTGATACTCGATGAAACGAAAAAGAGACACTAAATAGAGACAAACATATACATTTATGAGTGATGTACACGAATGAGATGGAATACAGTATACAGTGTTTTCTATTATCTGTCTCGTCTTTATGCGGTACCTTAAATATGTTAATATAGCTTTTAACTGTAAAGATAAACAGTTCAAAAAGTCATAATAACTTAACGATTTATATTAAATTAGTCGTGTTTAGGCCATCTAGCATCTATTTCATACATACTAACAGTCACACACTCACATACATACGTACATAATTACATAGTTTTTATTTTATATCTTTCTATATAGCCAAACTGTTAATTCGCTCCATATAATATAATTTCTAATCATAAGTTATCTCTGTATATATACAAATAAATAAAATTAAAGTGTCTCTGTTTTTAATGTCGAAATAACAGCATTTTACTATATACATAATATGAAAATATATGCGGTATTTATAACAAAAACACGATTTTTAAAATTTTTGTCTGTCTGTCTTTCTGTCTGTCTGTCTGTTTGTTCCGGCTAATCTCCGAAACGGCTGGACCGATTTTGACCGGACTTTCACTGGCAGATAGCTGATGTTATAAGAGGTAACTTTTACAGGCTACTTTTATTTTGGAAAAAGAATTGGGGTTCCGCGCAATAAATTAAAACCCATGAAATCTAATCGTAATAAATTACGCGCGGGCGAAGGCGCGGGGAACAGCTAGTATTATACTAAGCGTCTAGTAAATTCGGGGGGAGGGGGGGGGGCTGGTGATCAGTAATACGGGTCTTTGAACCTGCCCACGTAGGTCACGACACCAGTCTTCCACGAATGACATAATATTGTTAAATAGAGATGTACCTAATACTAATGTATCTTCCATGTCGTTCTACCACGTGCTAAATACACACATGTTTTTTTCTGTCGACTTCCAAAAAGGAGACGGTACTCAATTCGACTGTATGTTTTTTTATGTGTGTTACCTCATAACTTTTTATTGGGTGAACCGATTTGGAAAATTCCTTTTTTTTATTTGAAAGCAGGTACTCCTCGTGTGGTCCCATATGAATTTGATCATAGTCAGACCAATAGTGTTTGAGTTATTCTTAATAACTCATATTGAAGTCGGCTGTACAAAATTTTAAATTTTAAATTATATATTTAGTAGCACAAAGAACGTTACATGAATGTTTAGTTTTTTTATTCGAGAAAAACATTTAGCAAAGATTATTGTTGAATAAATAATAGATTACCGTGTAGTGTCAGTGTAAGAATATCCACTACCCTATAACATTCCGTGGGTGTCGTAAGAGGCAGCAGAGGCAAATGAGGTAAACTACCTTTGACGCTGCTGCCCGTCGCTGGTCTGCATATTTTACGCATGGCGTAAACGAGATGGTTATATATTATAGCGCCATCTACCGAGAGCCATTAGATGTTTTTGAAATTTCCCATAGTCGTCTCTCACGACAACCACAGGACGAGACGTGGTGATGGTATTCATAATTCATAATTATTTATTTGCTTAGAATGTAGGTAGATGTTACAAAAGTATTATTAAAGCATAAAGTTCCGACACATTCTGCCTTATCAAGGCGTGCAAATTTTAATTGAATTTATAAGTTGCAATACATTTTCTTTACAATAATTATTGATGAATTTTAGTCTAATATAATTATGTCCTAATAGTACTAATAAAAATGTCAAATTAATAATAAAATAAATGTCAAAAGAATAATTACGAAGTACAATATCACACAATCATTTACAAAAATGTCAAAATACAAATGTTAACATGTAAAAACAGTAAAATCCACCTACCAATAATTATTCTATCGAAGTCTTATTTTATTAACTTACAGCAAAAAAATTCAAGCAATTTAGATACGGATATTAAATACGTAATTTGTTTTGATTTTTATGATCAAGATACTCATTAACGGTATAAAAACAGTTAAGTAAGAGCCATTCGTGAAGTTTGTTTTTTAACTTTGTCATTGGGAAATTTTTAAACTCGTCGGGTAAAGAATTTTTAAATTTAATCGCCATTATGTACGAATTTTTTTGAAAAAACTTCAATTTACATTTCGGAAGGTATATTCTGTTGTTAGATTTTATTCTTAAACTTCTATCTCTTAAAAAAATATTACTTGGGAAGTATTCAGGGAATTGCTTGACAAAAGTCGCAGCTTGTTTTATATACATACACATATATATATATATATATATATATATATGTATGTATATATATATATATATATATATATATATATATATATATATATAGGTAAATATTAAATATCATATTTAATATTTACCGTGCAGTGCCGGTGTAAGAATATCCACTACCCCATATAATTCCGTGGGTGTATTAAGAGGCGACAGAGGGAAACAAATCAGGAGATGGGCAGCAGCGTCTCCCTAATAACGACCAAAAATAAAAAGCTGCGGTTGCCAACCCGCTTGCCAAGCGTGGCAACTATTGCAAATATCCCCCCTTTGGCGCAATCTATGTGGGAGGTTGTTCAGCAGTGGACTTTAATAGACTGTAACGGTAACGGTAACGGAACTGCTGCAGCTTCGCATGAATAGGATCTACTAATGCGGTGTTATATAAGCAAGCGTTTTATATATATATAAGAACATTTAAAATAACTATTTTTTCAGATTAATTATAGCATAGATCCCTATTGGCAGTGCTTTCTATCAGTTCGCAAAGCTTCACCATCGCATCGGGCATTCCGAAGATAGTTATTTCAATAATACAGACAGAAACTTCAATAATATATATATTTTGATTATATAGTATATACATGGCACAAAAAAAAAACAATATTTCATTTTAAAGTAATACTTTTTGCTATTTTTAGCCATTAATAATAGTCGCACACCATTGTCACACTCAATTAAATATAATAGTTTTGCTTATTATATTTTAAACGTGTCACATGTTATATAATGTAACATTTTAAATTATAGTGTTCGGTATCCCTAGTTGTATTTGGATTGGCCACACTACTAACAGTGGGCAGGCAGGTTAATGTGCGCTAAGCTTGGCATTCTAAAGAATCATATATACATATGCTGCAGCTATATAAGTAGTATAGTTGTAGCACGAATGGGTCGGCTCGACCGGGGAAGAACCACGCTCTCACAGAATACCAGCGTCAAATAGCAGCTTAACACTGCTGTGTTTCGTATGGTGAGTGTAGAGAACCGGAGAACCTTTTTACTGGAAAAGAGGTATTCCATCTTAGTCCTCACGGGTGATCAAGGGGTTTCGGAAAAATGACTTTATTATTTACATTATAAAGTTCTATTTCGTAATGATATCACAACTTATTAGTTATACTCACAAATATTCACGAAAAATATTTCTTTACAAACTGAGAAAAAACTAATAAATATATTTTTGTGTGTGCTTTTATTCTCGTACACTGATAAAAATTGTTTATATGTTGGTATATGATTCTAAATTTAAATATCGCTAAGATCCTGTTATAGGTAATCATAAACTTATTATTTAAAAAAAAACCAAATAAAGTAGTTTGAACTTACATTCCAAAAGATTAGCGAAAACATATATAATTGTTCACTGATTCTATTTAATTTACACGAAATACAGGTTTTTTGCAAATTAGTTTGTTTAGGCTTTAGTTTATTTTAACAGTTTTCCTCGTAGCCAAGGCTAGCGCGTCCGCTGCCAACCCACGCACTACTGGTTTGTGTTTTGACACAACATATCACGGACCTTGCCGCCATATTCTGTTTCGACATTAAATACTAATTAATGACATTCAAATAATAAATAGCAATAAAACGAAGCATGTTCTTTATAATTTAGATATAATTATGTTTTTTTTTTATATAGCTACATGATTACGTAATATATGATAATACATTACATAGCATCACGGCTGTAATCACCAATAAGCTCCTGACCAACGTTTGAATAACGTAATGTGATAAACGAGTACACAGTCCATCTGAAGGTAAGTGAATGCTGTGGCCCATAGACATCTACATTTACCCTCGATTAAGAAACAAAATGCAGTTTTAAAAATTTTCTACGGATCTCCACACTCACCATACGAAACACAGCAGCATTGAGCGGGCTATTTTACGCTGTTATTCTGAGAGGGCGTGGTCCTTTCCCGGTGGAACTACCCTACAACTCATACATACTACAACGTTAATATAGCTATATTAAAGTTACAGTAGAGAACTACTACGTATAATAATATATAATAATACTAGCGATCCGCCCTGGCTTCGCACGGGTGATTTCAGGATCCTGAGAACAGCGCCACTTACCGGGTCCAATTATAAATTGCATTCAATCACGCATACAAAATTCCATCAAAATCGGTCCGAACAAATGGAGTTCAATCACAAACGCACAGAAGAATTATATGTAAAGATATCTTAATATGACAAACCCATATTCCACAGATTATTTATTTATAGGGCAGCAACGTTCGATTCCGCGTTCATGACGTATTTTTGAAATAGACGTAAAGTAACAAACGAGCACACGTCCACCTGATCATGAGTGGATATTGCGGCCTATATACCTACATCTATTAACAAGTCAACAAAATGCATATGTGTTGTCACTCCTGAGTGAATCTTCCTAATCACCCTCACCAAAGGTTTAACTGGATGAGTTCCTTTAGCGATAAGACCTCCTTTGTGCATTTAGTTGGTACACAATTTGTTATCAGTGTTTTAAAGAACAATTCCTCTTTACCAAGTAAAAAGGTTTCTGGGATAAAGTGGTAGCTGTACATGGTGACCCTTGGTGATTAAGGAACTAGGCTTTGGTGATTGAGTTTTTTTTTATAGGAGAGGGGTAAACGAGCATGCGGCTCACCTGATAAGTAAGTAAATCTAGTCCAGTTTAATCCTTAGAAGACACAAGTTTGCGCGTTTACCGCTAAAAAGAATCCCTTTGTCGTATCTCCTTAGTTTCAAGGCACTCCCCTTGTTGCCTCAGCCAGTATCGGTATCCTCGGCATCGACATATCGAGTGACGTACAGTTTCGTGGTTACTTGGAAGAGAAGGCCAAATTATCCTCTAAAAAGCTTTACAAGGTTCGGCCTCACATGGAATACTGTTCCCATCTCTGGGCTGGGGCTCTCCAGTGCCAGCTCATTCCACTTGACCACATCCAGCTCAGAGCGGCTCAAATCGTCGACGACCGAGTCCTTTCCGATCGGCTCGATTCACTGGCGCCGCGCAGATGTTGTATCTTTTTGCATTTTTTATCGCATCTACCACGGGGAGTGCTCTGAGGAATTGTTCGGACTAATCCCAGCCGCTCAATTTCACCAGCGCACATCGCGACAAATAAACGCGCGATACCATCCATACCATCTGAATGATTGGCGGTCCACCACTGTGCGAATTAGAAGAAGTTTTCTTCCTCGCACGACCTCTTTGTGGAATCGATTACCATCAGCGATTTTTCCGGACTGATACGACTTAGGGACCTTCAAGAAAAAGCCTACTCCTTTTTAAAAGGCCGGCAAACTTACCGCATGCTCGTGTGCCCCTTCTCCTATAAAAAAAAAAACTTCACCTCAGTCCCAGCGAGCGACATCTAGCGAACGGAAGATTATTAGCCCTCATTGAAATAAAACGCACAAATTTACCCATTTTTTGGGAAAATTTATCACCACTTTACCTAAGATATATTAAAAAAAATCTTAACTTGTTTCCTAATAATTAAAAAAAATTACATTGGCATTTGTACAAAAATTTTTTTTTTTTGTATTTTGAATTAGTCCGCTCGTTCTTTTTTCACGAGTCACGAGAATGAGGGCATTCAAGACTTTTTCTGCCACCAGGGCGGCGCCACAAGAAAGTGAGGTATTATATTTGTCAGATTTCATACCGGGGAAGTTAATCTGTTCGGAAAATGTAAAAGTTATTGTTTCTTTTTGTACTATTAGCTATATTTTATATTAATAACATTAAAATAAATAAACCAAACCACAGATATTTTTAAACGTAGAAAAATTAAAAAAAAAACCAAACCACTAAGGAATTGTTTTGTGTATTAATATAATACTCTAGAAACTGGTAATTTTTTTAAAAAACAAATTCTCAATTAAATTACATTGTGTAACAAAAAACTTTACTTTACTTTAGTGTCAACTAGCGACATCTGGTGAGCAGAAAATTATTACCCCTCATTAAGATTAACTCTCTCGTATCAGAACATCTTTTTTAAAGTAAATTTTTTAATTCATCTTTTTCATTTCTTTATAGTGCTGATCATACGACGTTTTTATAGAATATATAAATTGCACATGGCTAAAATCCATATCCGGAACACATTTATAGGACATAGAAACGATCGTTCCGTACAGGATTGGACTTGCGACCCCATAGCACCGCAACCAAACGTTTAGTCCCTGCGCGACCAAGCCGTTTAAAAGACAAGTCTAAATTACTCCGTTTGAAAAGGCTTGTAGGGCGACAACGGCGACAAACGAGCGTGATGGTGAAGTGGTTGCTGTGACCCATAGACATCTATCCTCGATTACGAACCAAAATACAAATGCGTTGTCATCCGTAAGGACTAAGATGGAATGCCTCGTTTTCAGAAAAGGGTATCAGTTCTCTGCACTTACAGAGCGTGACCCTTTCTCGGTTGAGCCTTAGTGCTACAACCATAAAAACCATGCGTGATTTACATTTTATAATTTATAAGACTGATTTATAACATTATATTGCCCGTATGTAAATAAGATAAAAAGGGGTTAAAGGTCTATAGAAATAAAGTGAATTGTTATTGTCATATCTTATAATGAAGATATTAATAGTAAGAACGGATTTCCCAAAATTTAAAAAGACGGACGGTCTGTTAGGATCAATTTTTTTTATAGAATATGGGTACCAGACGTGCACACAGTCTACCTGATGGTAAGCGGATACTGAGACCCATTGACATCTACATTTATACTCAAACAAGAAACAAAATGCAGATGCATTGCTGCCCCTGAGGACTAAGATGGAATGCCTCGTTTCCAGTAAAAAGGATATTTTTACAGGAAATACTCACTATACAAAACACAGCAGCATTGAGCCATTTCCCTGCTGGCCGTACGAGGAACCTCAAAGTCGCTCAGCGAGCTCGGCGTTTCCCAATATAAGAAATTCTGAAACATTATTGGTATTTAAAAACGTGTTAGAGATAACATCTTTGCATCCTGTTATTTAATATATTGTTGGGATGGTAAAAAATAAAAAGAAATACGAACAAATGAAGGAAGAATGGTAAACTCCCACTTATTTTAGCAGTATAAAGTATCACACAGGCGACTAAGAGGCATAAGTCTGTAATGCTAAGAGTCCCACTGCCGTGACTATGCATATGCATATGTTTTTGTAGTGCATCAGGGATGTTTGCGGCATACCAAACAGACGGTTTTAATGCCATCATACGCAAAAAACCCGCACCCCTTATTAGCAGGGTACGAGCCAGTCACAACAGCATTCTGAGCACCGTAACTGACAGATATACATCGCCGCTGTAGAACTGTCTTGTGCATAGACTGATTACTGGGCCCTATCCACCCCCATGATGATCTGTCTCGGCACAGTGTAGTTATTTTATTTCCCTAGATTTTAAGCAAACCATTGTACTACCACTGTAACTAACCCTTGTTATTATAATTGTTGTTATTATTATTGTGTTACTAACCCACATATGGATTTCAATTATCTGAAATAAAGAATTTCTTAATATTAATATTAACTATGCCCGTTGGGGTATTCTACTAAGGTTGGGAAGGAAGGTCGTGTTGCTGAGAGGCTGCCCTGTGCTACATTGAGATGGATAGTGTTGCTGTTGGTTTGCATACTTTGGTGTTATCATGTAATTGGGGTCCTGATAGTAAGCAGGGTTTGTTACCGAGGAGTGTTCTTTTATTTAAATACTTTTGAGAATAATTTCTAACATCAGAAGTGGAATAATTTGTTACAATACGTTATTTTATTATATTAGTATGTTTATATATATTATATGTAGCAACTGTATGAATTATTTTTATTTATAATATCATTTTATATAATTTACGTTACATTTTGTATATTATGGCAGAAGAAGCATGAGAGTAGAATAAATGCTGTAGAAATGCGGTCATTAAGGAGTATGTTAGGGATGAATCTGAATGACAGAGTGAGAAATTGTTTAATAAGAGAAGAGTGTGGTTTGCAAGATGATGTTGTGACCAGGATTAAGAAAGGAATGCTTCGGTGGTTTGGCCATGTCGAAAGAATAAATGAGGAAAGAGTGACAAAGCAAATTTATGTTGCAGAGGTGAACGGCATAGTCGGGAAGGGTCGCCCTGGGCGAAAGTTTATCGACCAAATTGGCGATATATTAAAAATGGGCCAAATCAAGAGCACCTTTAACCGACGAGCGTGTATGCGTAGGTATATGGATGTGGAGGAAGCGAGAGAGGTGTGTCAGGATCGTGCCAAATGGAAGTCCATAATCTCTGCCTTCCCCTCTGGGTGACAGGCGTGAGTGTTTATGTATTTATGTTTATGTATTTTGTATATTAGTTACAGTAGTGTTAGTATTGTACGCACTAAGTTTGCATTTTTAAATATATTTTCCTTTGTGGGTCTACTGGAAGATATTTCAGCTAATTATGGAATAAGTAGAACCTTTGTACAAACTCGCTATAAGACTGTTTCTGTATCTTGTTGTGTGTACATAAATAAATTAAAAAAAAAAACTTATAATCATGTGTTCGTGACTTAATAGTCAAGTAAACCAAAACTAACCCTGGCTAGACTTGCTATAAGGTCAAACTCGAATACCGTTACCGTTACAGTTAAAATCCACTGCTAAACTCGTTTGCTCCCCCTTTATATAAAAAGATAACTGCACCTTTGAGTACCTATGCAAATCTTCATCTGACTTTAATCTGTTCCACCAAAACCGATTAAGTTAAAATTTTGCACACAATATTAATGCTGATGACAATACTATCTAGTATACTCAGTTACTTATGTGATTTTTTCAAAATGGCCGCCGTTTCTAATTGTTTAATTTATTTTTACGTGGTAGAGCTATATTAATAGTATGGTTCTGGCACGAATGGGTCGGTTCGACCGGGGAAGGACCACGCTCTCACGTTTCGTATGGTGAGTGTAGAGAACCGGAGACCTATTTTACTGGAAAAGAGGCATTCCATCTTAACCCTCACGGCTGACAACGCATCTGCATTTTAATTCGCAAACGAAGATAGATGTAGATTTCTATGGGCCACAGCAACCATTTACCATCAGGTGGACTGTGTGCTCGTATGTCACCATTATTCTATAAAAAAAAATTGAAAGATAATTTCTTTACAATCCCCTTGATCTGGATATAAATTTTGTTTTATTAAATTGAACATGTGTTGTTATCTCTTAAGTCTTTCACCCAGTAATTATTATTGCTTATCGGAATTTACAGGAAGGTAAGAGTTGTGATACGTACCCAAACGGACCCCTAAGTGGAAAGAAAGTCCTGGCACCTAGTAGTGTACTTGTGTAGAGTTGTAATAACGATAATAACGAACAATTAATTGAGTAGGAAATTGCGGCATCACAAACCGAACCCGCGAAGTGTGGCAGGTACCAACTCTAGGGATCTTCCTTCTCCATCCCATCGGCTTCACTAGCGTAGCCCTTCTCTAGGAGGTTATTCATTTGAGTTGTATATGTGTCTCGAAACTCCGGTGACTGGTCCATCTTCCGTTCGATGGTTCGAAGTGTTCGAGCTGCCATCTCGTAGCTAGGTGGCATCTTGACGTTGTCGTCCCTCCACGGCAGTCCGACTTTATATGGCTCGCCGACCCTCTTGACGGTGCGCCGAAGATGTCGACAGCACGCTCCTCTTCCCGTCTTGGCCTACTCTTGACCGAGATACCTATTGAATCGATCTCATACTGCCTCTTGAGGAGATCCGTCAACTCCTCGTCTATACTCGAGAATAGAGATAGACACAGCACATCCAAATACGAAATGTAATGATTTTTATAAAATTTCATAAAAGTTCAATCGAGTTTACCATAGATGCGACGCTAGCAAACGGGTTAACAACCGCGGTTTTTTTTTATTTTTAGTCGTTATTAGTAAGACGCTGCTGACCATCTGCTGATGTGTTTCTCTCTGTCGCCTCTTACGACACCCACTGGATGGTATGGGTAGTGGATATTCTTACACCGCCACTAAACGGTATGTGTGAATAAAAGCATTAAACAAATAAAAAGAAAAAAAATATTTTACAATTTGATGTCGGTTTTATTTCTTCTGTACAAAGTTTCCTTCGTTGTCCAAACTAGTAATAAATTAAAAAAAAATATTATTTCTTTAAGTAAGTTGGTGACATTATTATGATAAAATGATAAATCCCCGCGTAAATACACAGCGATATTTATAAGTGTTGGTTTTATTAAATATCTGTTGTTTTCCTTATGTTTGCACAGTGCGAGCGTCAACACAAACGCGGGACGACGCCGGTTTCGAGCATAATTTTTTATCTGTGGCACTCATGTCAAAGCGAAATGAGGTGAGGTTATCTTAGAATATTAATTTCTTACATTTCTATAAATAATTAAACTTGAGAGCTTAATTTAAATTAATTCAAAGACATTATTACGTTGTTAGATGTATTAGATTTAAGGTTAGATATACACTAGAGCAACGCTGCAGCTATATTATGGTTGCGTGAATGACGATCTCACAGAGTTAAAAGTTAAAGTTACAGCCTATATACGTCCCACTGCTAGGCACAAGTCTCATTTCTGAGAGGGTTTTAGGGCAAGGGAATGCCCGCCGCACTGCCCTAATGCGTGTTGGCGAACTTCACATGTCTTCGATTTTTTTTTTCTTAATACACAGATATGCAAATTTTCTCTCGATGTTTTCCTTCACCGCCGAGCACGTTCTGTGTTTCGTATGGTGAGTATAGAGAACTGGAGACCCTTTCTAATGGAAACGAGGAATTTTATCTTAGTCCTCAGGGGTGACAATGCATCTGCATTTTGATTCTTAATTTGAGATTAATTGCAGATGTCTATGGGCCATAGCATCCACTTACCATCAGGTAGACTGAGTGCTCGTTTGTCACCCATATACTATAAAAAATATGTTATTTTGTTTCTTCTCTTGTTTGGAATTAAGGTTGAAAATCTGACAGCTTAAATCCAGCACGATATTCACAACACCGGCTGCTGATTTTCTTTTATTGCAAGCTCTTGTTTTAACTTTGATATTGATATTTCTACGTGGTAGAGCCATGCTGCAGCTATATTCGTAGTATATAGTTGTAGCTCGAATGGGTCGGCTCGACCGGGGAAGAACCACGCTCTCACAGAATACCAGCGTCAAATAGCAGCTTAACACTGCTGTGTTTCGTATGGTGAGTGTAGAGAACCGGAGACCCTTTTTACTGGAAAAGAGGCATTCCATCTTAATCCTCACGGGTGACAACGCATTTGCATTTTGATTCTTAATTTGAGATTAATTGCAGATGTCTATGGGCCATAGCATCCACTTACCATCAGGTGGACTGTGTGCTCGTTTGTCACCCTATCCTATAAAAACGATCTAAGAAGAAATTTAATTGAATAAGTTTACAAAATGGATGCCAAAAATTGTAAAATCATGGTCCAAGTTATTATTCCTTCACAATAAAATCATACTACTATGTCAAGAAAGTACCGGGAATTGGTCGATGGAAAACAAAATATGTATTATTCATATAAATTTATTGTATCGCCTTCAGAGTACGCCCCTTCCAAAATAATAGACTTACGCCAACGAATAAACACAATCATAACAAAAAAATTATACGCATTTTTTGGAATGGACTTCAGTGTTCGCCGCAAATTCTCTTTTATGCCATCTATCGACTGAAAACGGGTGTATTTGAAGCGGTAATTTGAATTTTGGAATACGAAAAAAGTCAACCGGTGTCATATCATCTCTACGGTGGCTATTCAATTAGATTTGTTGAGTTTTTTTCCAGAAATTCATTCACAATGATATCCTTGTGTGACGGTGTGTTATCGTGGTGTAAAATCCATGAGTTTTCCCCCCACAAATCTGGTCTTTTTGGACGAATTTGCTCTCTCAAACGCTGCATTACGCTCAGTTAATATTTTTATTTACTATCTCACCCTCTGGTAAGTATTCTGAGTGCACAAAACCGCGGTAATCGAAAAAAAACTGTGCTGCTAAACGAGTGACAAGGCTGAAAGGACAGAATTGGCTCCTATCCGTGTGGTAGCGGCGTGAAATATACTATCCCCTAGTTTCGCATCATGAGACAACAACAAAAAAATGGCCCCGGATTCCCGACGCCCCTTTATTGTAGCAGGAAGCAGTGCAGGGCAGTGCGAAAAATCTCCGGGAGGAAAACCGGCGACGAGGTTCGCCACCTGTCACGTTTTGTCTGACGGAGGGACGAAAAATGGATTGCGGAAGCCCGTCTGGTTACGCTGAATGTATATGAGACAGTGAATAATAAGGTAGATGAAGTATGCGATATGATGTATGATAGAGAAATAGATGTGTTATGTGTAAATGAGACGAAACGGAAGGGGAAGGATGCCACTACACATGGTATGTATACTGCGTACTGGTCGGATGTAGACGAGACCGAGCGGGCATACCAGGGAATTGGTATCATCCTTTCAGAAAGAAGGGGTCATTGTGTGAAAGAGTATGTATGTGTAAGCCCGAGACTGCTATGGATACGAATGAAAGTGGGCTTAAAGAAGTTGTTTGTTCTAGGGGTTTACGTCCCAGATATGTCTAAGCCCACTTATATCCGAAAGCAGTTTTGGAACATGGTAACATTGGGGTTGATGAAATGTAAGGGTAATGAAAATATTGTTATATTAGGAGATTTTAATGAAAGGTTTGGTATGAAGAGGCTAGGTTATGAAAGGAATTTGGGAACGCTTCGTGATGAAAGTATAAATGAGAATGGTAAAAGTTTTCTTACCGTATGTATGGAAAAGAACATTTTTGTGACAAACACTTTCATTCGTCATATAAAGATTGACATGTATAGATGGGAAAGAGGTGTTGATAGAAGCATGATAGATTTCATAATTGTGGATGAAAAAATGAGGAGTGCAGTGACAGATACAAGGGTTTACAGGGGTCCAGCGTAGGGACGGATCATTACTTGGTCACTTGCCAAATTAATGGTCTATTCAGACGTTGGGGGCATCGGACATCTGTTTCCACTACTGTGTTACAGCGTATAAGAACATAGGCGTTACAAAAAGAATGAGTAAAAGAGAAGAACAAATGTAGACTGAGAGAAATTATCAGTGGTTTGGATGAATTATGTATGAATAATTTAGACTTGGAGACTGTGTGGCATAATGTTAAGAAAGGTTTGGAAATGCAGCTACTGAAGTATGTGGTGCAAGTAAGGGAAAGAATGAAAGGATAAATAACACGTTATGGTGGCATGGGATGGCTAGATTTACTAGCCACCAAGGCTGGTAATTCTGACGCTATGACTGATGAGATTGAAAGAAAAAAGGCAGACTTTAGACGTATAAATAAGAGAGTAAACGAAGTAGTTGAAAGTAAAAAGCAATAAAGAATGGATAAGAATGATAGAAGAATATCGGATAATTTCCAGGCAAATATTATAATGTTCTGGAAACTCATAAGAACTACCTGGGGACATTAAAAACAGCCTAGAACGAATGCTATACGAGACTAGAATGGTTGTATGCTGCATGACGAAGTTTCAAGTTTGCGAGAAGAGGGAGTGGTGGCAGGCCCACTGTACACCTTGTTTTATTTATGTTGGGAACTGAAGCGGGTACCGGAATTCTGGTGCAAAGCCGTGATAGTCACAATATATAAAGGAACAGGTTCACAGAAGGTCTGTAAAAAGTACCGTGGTATCAACATTCTTAGTATTGCGCGAAAACTGTGTGCTAAGGTACTAATTGAAAGAGTTATGAAAGAAAGTGATGCTATGTAAATGAAAGAAAAAATTTTTGGATGTGCAAGCGGGATTAAGAAAGGGAATGGGATGCATGGATCAAGTATTTTCCATACGCATGATCGCGGAGAAGTTTTTGGCTAAAAACCAAAAAGTTTTTGTGCGTTCCTGATGGACCTGGAAAAGGCTTATGACAATGTGGACAGGGATATGTTATAGCAAACACTGAACTCATTTGGGTTGAGCGCTTGGTTGATACAGGCTATAAAGTTTCTTTATAGGGCCTCTATTGCTTGTGTCAGGATCAACGGGGTCTACTGTGAACGATTTGGCATCCATAAAAGTGTCAAACAGCGTTATGTGACTTCCCCGTGGCTGTTCCATATGGACAGTTGTTTGGAAAATTTTAAAGTTGAAGAATACGGGTTAAGAATGCGTTTTGTTCGCCGATGATCAAGTCATATTTGCGTCGTCGGCGGCCGACTTGCAAATAGTGGTTACATTAATGAACAGGTCATTAAAAGAAAAGGGAATGAAAGTGAACGTAAGAGAAAAAGTAAAACGATATGTAAAATAACAATGGAAGGGGAGTTGTTCGAGCAAGTATATTAGTTTGTGTATTTTGGATGTATATTTAGCAGGGATTGTACATATGATAAGGATAAAGAACGTCGGATAAACTCAGGGAATAGAGTAAATAAAAATGTTTCTACAAAGGCACATATGGCATATAATGGAAACGATTATTAAGAGCCAGCTCTTGCGGTACCTTGAGGATCACCAGCTGATTAGTGACCGCCAGTACAGTTTCCGTCGAGGTCGCTCAGCTGGTGATCTTCTGGTCTACCTGACTCATAGATGGGTGGAGGCAGTGGAGTCCAAGGGGGAGGCATTGGCCGTTAGTTTGGACATAGCGAAGGCTTTCGATCGGATTTGGCACAAAGCGCTTCTTTCGAAGCTGCCTTCCTATGGGCTTCCCGAGAAATTATGCAATTGGATCACCAGTTTTGTTGCAGATCGGAGCATCAAGGTCGTAGTAGACGGTGCATGCTCCGATTACAAGCCCATTAACGCTGGTGTTCCACAAGGCTGCGTGCTATCACCAACGCTGTTTCTTCTGCATATCAATGATATGTTGCAAGCCAGTAACATTCATTGCTATGCAGACGACAGCACTGGTGATGCTTTATACACCGGCCGTGCCAATATTTCTCGGGAAATCGTCGCCGAGTACCGGAACAAACTTGTGTGTGAAGTCGAGACTTTCTTGAAAAAAGTCTCAGACTGGGGGTGACTAAATCTAGTCCAGGTTAATCCCCAGAAGACACAAGTTTGCGCGTTTACCGCTAAGAAGAATCCCTTTGTCGTATCTCCTCAGTTTCAAGGCACTCCCCTTGTCGCCTCAGCCAGTATCGGTATCCTCGGTGTCGACATATCGAGTGACGTGCAGTTTCGTGGTCACTTGGAACTTGGAACTAAAAAGCTGGGCGTGCTCAGCAGAGCGGGACAGTATTTCATGCGGGCGCACCGCCTGCAACTTTACAAGGCGCAGGTTCGGCCTCACATGGAATACTGTTCCCATCTCTGGGCAGGGGCTCCCCAGTGCCAGCTCCTTCCACTTGACCGCATCCAGCGCAGAGCGACCAAGTTCTTTCCGATCGGCTTGACTCACTGGCACTGCGTAGAGATGTTGCATCTCTTTGCGTATTTTATCGCATCTACCACGGGGAGTGCTCCGAGGAATTGTTCGGACTAATTCCAGTCGCTCAATTTCACTATCGCTCATCGCGACAAAACTCGCGATACCATCCATATCATATGCATGTTTGGCGGTCCACCACTGAGCGATTCAGAAGTTTTCTCCCTCACACAACTTCCTTGTGGAATCGATTACCACCAGCGATTTTTCCGGACCGATACGACTTATCGGCATATATACGGCAACGGATCTGCGATTCCCCTGATGTAGCAGTTGTTCATGGGCGGCGGTACTCGCATGCTATCAGGTGAGCCGCATGCTCGTTTGCCCACTCTCCTATAAAAAAATAGCAATTCACAATGCTTTGCGAGTCCCTACATTAATGTATGGTAATAAAAGTTGGGTGCAGCAGAAGAAGCACGAGTGTAGAATAAATGCTGTAGAAATGCGGTCATTAAGGAGTATGCTAGGGCTGAATCTGAATGACAGTAATTCAAGTAGTCGATTGTTTGCTTTGCGGTGTGCGACGAGGCGTTGTCGTGGTGAAGGAGGATCCTACTGCGAGGTCGTTTCTCCCGAACTTTTTCCAAGACAAGTGGCAACCAACTGTTAGTGTACCACTATGCAGTAACTGTTTTTCGATGCTATAAAACAATTTTTGAGTAATGACCTGTCCTTCCGAAGAACGAGGCCACCACCTTTTTTCCCACGCTTCGATCTCTCTTCACTTTAGTTGGCAACTCCTCACAAGGAAACACCCAGACAGCAGACTGTCTCTTAGTTTCAGGATCATAACAATAAATCCAGCTTTCATCAACCGTAAGTATGTTGAACACAGCATTTGAGTCGCCTCCGTTAAATCTTTGAACCATTTCACGACACCAATCAACACGACGGAGTTTTTGGGTTTCTGTCAAATTATAAGGTATCCACCGCGCACATAGCTTCCTAAAATGCTGCTTTGCTAAATGTTCATGGAGGATTTTGTGCACTTGACTCATACCGATGTCTAAGCTTGTCCAAATATGCTGATGAGTCACTCTTTTGTCAGTCTCTATCATACGCCGCACAACACTGATGTTATCTTCAGTCGTCGCCATAGAAGGCCGTCCCTCACGCGGATCATCGGTGAGATTATTGCGACTACGTTTAAGCTCATTAAACCAGTCGTAAACAGTGGCACGAGATAGGGCTCCATCGTGAAAGGCCAATCGAAGTCTATCGTAACTTTCTTGTTGACTTAAATGACATCGAAGTTCATAAAAAAATCATTGCACGAAATTTTTTTCGCGTTAAATTCATGCTGACGTGTTTCAATTTGCCGCCAAATCGTAAACAAAGGACAAATTAATAAAATACATACACAATAATATAGGCAAAGAATTCCATTTTCAAAATTTCAACTTATTTTTTTATTACATCGTTTACAAGTGGCCAGTTCTAAAAAATTTTAAGTCCCCCTCGTACCAGGAGGGATCTAGGCTATATTTTTTTAACTGTTTATATATCTATTTTTATATCATATATCAAATCATCCCGAGGGTGTCGTATGAGGCGAAAGAGGGAAACTGAAACAGAAGATGAGCAGCGACATCTCCCTGATAAGAACGCAATAATAATGAGAAAACTGCGGATGCGAAACCATCTGCCAATCGTGTCAGCTATGAGGCAATCTAGGTGGGAGATCATGATGATCAAGATGTTTCAAGATCGAATAAAAACCTAAGGAAAATAAACAAACCGGTCCAATAGGACACGATGAGAGGACACCCGAAGACCACCACTATTGACGGAGCGTTTACTTCAAATCCTTGTTATTACCATAGGCATACAATTTTGGTGACCGCTGTCCTATCGACCCTGATGGTGTTAACGGCGTGCCAGTCGGACGATGAAACAGCAGCCATGGTCCAGGCTTTAAACTCTAACGAACCACAAGAGAATACAACCAACGACGAAGAAGACCTTAACCTAGATCCAGTTCTTGATGAAACTGACACGGGTAAGATTTTGTTTATAATAATATAGTTATTTTTGCCCGATCGAAATTCGGTCAAAGCGGCCTGATTTAACTTAAACTACCCTTCTTCGCAGGACAGGATTAAATATGAAATAAGTATGTACACAAGCACTGGTGCACTTGTATATTTCCTCACTCATAGTGCGATAGGATTGCAATGCGACACAAATGGTGTCTCCTGTTTTTTTTTTTTGTATGGGGAAATGCGGCTGATTTAGAAAATATTTCCTTTACCAGATTTTTTTTTAATTTTGCTTTAGATATTTGGCATAGACAAGATCAAATAAGTATTTTTTTTTATACCGGGCATGTCTTACGATGTAATCTTATGAAAGGTAAATGCGTTATTTACATTTGATACATAACTGGCGATTCGCCCCGACTTCGCATGGGTCCAGAATCCAGAAATCGATGTTGACAACAGCGCCACCTACCGTGTCGGGTGGTGTGAATCTACACCATCTAGGGTGCCTCCTCTACACTATTCGCGAAGTAGATCGAAGTTGGACGAGGCGATTAGTGTAGAGAGGTACTTCGATACGCTTCGCCTCGGGCGACTTCCGATCGCTGTTGGATTCTTGCGCCAGAGTCAAAGGACTTCTCTAAGTACTCCGAAGTTACACGAAGCATCTCACTAATTTAATTAAATATGGTACATAGCTTTCTACATTTAGGTCACCTATAGCAGCTGCCTCTTGAAAATTCATGTTAGGGGTGCGGGAGACTCAAGACAACTGAGCTCTTCGTGAAGTAGCACGAGTGGGTAATCGTTCAAAAAAACGTTCTTCGCACTGCGATCGACTTCGACGAGCACTTCGTCAAAGTTACTCCACGAGTAGTATAGAGGAGGCAACCCATTCAAAAACACTAAAAAATTTCATCAAAATCTATCGAGTCGTTTTTGAGTTTTAACGAGACAAAAGGACAGCAGTTGATTTTTATAAATAAAGATTAAAGTTAGTTTAGTGTTAACAAAATAATATTGACTTTAAAAATAATTAGAAAGGTTATCGAGTGGCGGCCTCGTACCGGTAGGCGAAGTGTAGGGCTTCCCTCCACTAGATGGAGTGACGTTCAGGTAAGACATGCAGGAAGTCGATGGATGCAGGTGGCTCAGGATCTTGCTTTGGGGCATTCCTTTGGGGAGGCCTATGTTCAGCAGTGGAGTTGTGATGGGCTGTAATAATGATGATGATGATTGCGCAAAATAACAGCTTTTTACTAAATTTGCATATGAAAGTATATACGGTTTATATTAAAAAAAAATCTTGTATCTGTCTTTCTGTGTATCTGTTTGTTCCGGCTAATCTCTGAAACAACTGGACCAATTTTGATGGGACTTTCACTGACAGATAGCTTATATTATAAGGAGTAATTTAGGCCACATTTGTTTCAGAAAAAAAAATTAAAACACATGTCGACGTGAACAAAATTCGATTCAAATAGGGAAGTATAATAATAATTATAACTAAAAATTATTCTATGCGAACAAAGTCGCGGGTACAGCTAGCCTTAAGTATTAATGATATCTATTCCCGTCTCTTTCTATTATAATTTAGTGAAAAGAGAGATCTTGGCATACACTAAATTGATAAATTGACGTCTAGGTTTAATAGTAAGGCCGTATATATATATCAGTTCCGTTAAATTAATATGTAAATTTTTCTTTTCTGTATCTGTTCCAGGTCCGAAGTCAGAGATCGCGCGTTCTAAAGGTTTGTGCATTATTAACATTTTTTTTTAAAAATGGGTATCTAATAAGCATTGGCTTAACACCTTTTGTAATTACCCTAAAATATAAAAAAAAAAACAGATTCAGTCATAAGGACTGCCGATAGAAGTCAACGGTCAATGATATATTATTAGCGCCGCGTAGTAGACATGATATTGAAGTATTGCGCTTGCGCTAGCATGTCAAGGTCATCGGTGACGCGAACCCATAAATTTTTCCCCTACCAAATATCGCCCAATGTGGCTAAAGAAGTTTTCACTACAAAACATAAGAATATCAAAAAATATATTCAGGGTTACGTGGTACGTGCTACGTGGTCGACTCGGCCGGGGAAGGGAAATGGCATCACGCTTGCGCAAATACAAGTATACTAAGTGTTTGGTATAGTCAGTGAGTAACCGAGCCCTTTTACTGGCAACGAGTCATTCCATTATATCCTCAGATGTAACATCGGCATTTTGATTTTTAATAGATAGCAATGGGCCGGCCATATAGTTATAAGAACTGACAACCCGTGGGGAAGCAAGGTTCTCAAGTGCAGCCTCGTACCGGTAGGCGAAGTGTGGGGCGGATGCAGGTGGCTCAGGAGCGTGCTTTGTGGCATTCTTTGGGGGAGGCATATGTTCAGCAGTGGACTTGTGAAGGGCTGTATTGTGATGATGATGATGAGATAGCAGATGTTGCTGTGTAACGCAGCATCCATTTCCTATCAGATGACATGTATGCTAGTGCGTGTGTCTCCTTGAGTGTTTGCGTGTGAAATGGACATCCCATGTCTTAATATTCGAAAGTGATAAGGGCTAAAAGATCTCCTGACTTTCAATATTTTTTTAACGAGCACACAACCCACCTGATGGTAAAGTAGATGCTGTGGCCCATAGACATCTACATCTATCCTCAATTAAGAATCAAAATACAAATGCGTTGTGACCCCTGAGGACTACGATGGAATGCCTCGTTTCCAGTAAAAGAGTGCCAAAGAACCGAAGACCCGGTTCTCTGCACTCACCATGCGAAAGACAGCAGCATTGAGCTGCTATTTTGCGCTGGTATTCTGTGAGAGGGTGGTCATTCACCAGTCGAGTCCACCCATTCGTGCTTCAACCATAATATAGCTGCAGCAAGGCTCTACCACGTAATGAACATCTCTTTTAATGTCAAACTTTAGTATGTCAATAGACCTGGCAAACATGTAGCCAGTCTAATGTTCTATTTGAAGAAGAAGAAAGACATATGGCAATTTTTTTAATACTAGCCTTGTCCCGGCGCGTTGTTTCCGCAGAAGAAATAATTGTCTAATTATCGTTTCATAATTTAAAAGAGATATAACTCTTGTTCAATTAGGAATGACAATACAATAATTGAAATTTAATTATCCACAACTTTCAAATAAATTATAAGTACCGTAAAATGAGGTGAATAGAAATCGCGGGGTGAATAGACACAAGTCTGGTTATTTGATAAAGTTGTCTCTAGGTTTGTCTACAGCTCGGGAACGTGTGTTTATTACTGCTGTTTATTATTTGCCAACATTTTTCCCTTTATTTTGGGTAACCTTTAAATTAGTGTCAATTTTGTGGACAGTAAAGAAAAGGGCGGTAATATAAACGTGTGAGTACAAGTGGTTTTATGCTGCGTAAAACTTTTAGTTACACGTTAATTTCTTCAGTGTTTTGTCATTGTGATTTGTTTATTTAGAGAGTTAAGTTTCTCATTTATTTGTTAACACATAGGTGAGTATCGATACTCAACGATTTTATTCTTTTAAATAGTAAAATCAGGATACTGGTATATTTTCTCGAATTCGAGGTGAATAGATACGACTGAGGGGTGAATAAAAACGCCTTTGGGGTTAATAGAAACGAAGAAAGGGGTGAATAGATACGAATGAGATTTTTAAGGTTGTCAAAACTTATTTGCACCATTTACTTACTACATAAATTAATTTACGTAGCTAATTGAAACTAAACTTAAAACAAAAACGTTTAAACCATATTAAAGGTATTTAAAAGTTTTCCCTTATAAATGTTAAATTTGGATATTTTTTATATATTTAAATTCCAAATACTAGAGGTTTTACCATTACACCAAATACAAGTTCCTGCAATAAATATAATTTATATGCTCATATGATTTAGTTCTATGTAGTAGGTAAATACATATATCATTCATTATATTTGTATTTTATTTTTTAACAGACACGCTCGTTATACGAGTTAAAAAAGTATCTAAACGGCGCGGAATAGGTGTGACGCGAGTTATCAGCTTCAAGTCCCGATATTATGTCAAATTACATTCATGTTTAGTGCTTACATAATTTTATAAATAAGTAATAGTGATTTTTAATCTCGTCTTGTTACCTACAACTTAAAATAACCAAAGGTTATTAATCAAAACACGTAGTATTATAATTAGTGTTATATAGTTTAACAAACTTTGAAACATTTTTTTATATTTTGTGTTCATTACTTAAAAAAATATGTTCAAAACTACGTAAGCAGTGGCTTATTTATCTAATGGCTTTATGTCGCAAATGCTTACGCTACAAGGCAGTTAAATTACATTACTCTGATATTTTTAATTTATATAATATGGAATTATATAGATATCAGATTTATTAACTATTTTTTATAATGACAATTTTGATGTAGTTATGTTTTATTTCATTTGACTCACAAGCTCACAACCTACATACTACAACAAAAGTAAATTTGACAACTCTGGCATTTTTTCTTTATTCACCTCTATGTTGTTTCTTTTGACCCCGGATTCCCGTTATATAGAAACCGACTACTTTTTTTCTAAAATACAAAGAATTTGCATGGTTTTACTCGTTTAAAGCATTAGTATTCGATAAACTACAACAAGACTCACAACATTAAAGTGTTTTATTATCGGCTTATATACAATATATGTAAGAAAAACAGTGTAGAAGTTGACAGTTGTGTCTATTCACCCCATTTTACGGTACCAGAAGCGCGCCACCTGCTGTAAGTTAATTGTACTATACCTATAACCTTCGCGCAAGTGCAAGCAGTAAGTTGACAGTGTTTTAGCACAATTTGATGAACGCGCATACAATACGAACAAACAAATATTAATTTTCTATACTAGATTATTATCGTGATCATTTTCCATTCGTTCTAGAAACAAGTACTGAGTGCATTGATAAGGAGGGGCAGCGCGGTGTTTGTGTAAACTACTACCTCTGTGACCAAGAATCCAGGACAATAATAGAAGATGGTCGCACGATCATAGATGTCAGGTTAGTACATTTATTAACAGTTTAAAGCAAGCCTTGATTGCGGTGTAGGTATAAGGTTACGCTACAAGTATAAAAAGTTATATTGCTATTTTTGAAGGTAGACCGAAAACGGTTAAAATTCGCCGAAGGTATCGCTATTTTTAAGGGTACCGTTATACCTTTGTATAACCTTTATAACCGAAATTATATTGATAACCTTAAATATCTGTTTGTGTAACCAAAATTATCTGTTGTTTTGACAATGGCAATTAAGAAATTCTAAGAAACTAATTAAAAACTAAGGTAACTTTGAACCACAAGAAGAAGAAAACTTAGACGTGAAAATTTAAACGTGGTAGAGCCATGCTGCAGCTATATTATGGTTGTAGCACGAATGGGTCGGCTCGAACGGGGAAGGACCACGCTCTCACAGAATACCAGCTTAAAATAGCTGCCTAATGCTGCTGTGTTTCGTATGGTGAGTATAGAGAACTAGAGACCCCACTTTTCTGGAAACGAGGCATTCCATCTTAGTCCTCACAGGTGACAACGCATCTGCATCTTGAGTCTTTATTGAGGTAGATGTCTATGGGTCACAGTAACCACTTACCATCAGGTGGACTGTGTGCTCGTTTCTCACCCGATCCTATAAAACAAAAAACCTATAAGTTGATAATTAGGTTAGAAAATTAGGCTAAAAAAAACGCTACCGTTTTGTCATTGTCAAAACAACAAATAATTTTGATTACACAAACATTTTGGTTCGCCAGCAATTGTCTTTTAATTCTGACGGCTCCGTGATGCAGTACGTTAGCAGTGAGGTAGGCAGCCGAGGGTCGCGGGTTCGAATCCCGCACGGAATAATTATTTGTATGGTCTGAGGGCGGCATTTTTGTATTTAGCAGCCCCGGATAGCAGCACTACTGTAATGTTCCCATACTATACTAGTGGTTAGAAAGATTGGCTTTTATTAGTTTAATCCAGCGCCATTTACCATGTTAACCACGTAGCGGCGGTGTAAGAATATCCACTACCCCATATCATTCCGTGGGTGTAGTAAGAGGTAACAATGGAAAACATTACGCAAGCTTTGTCCAAAGCAAAACCATATTTTCACACCTACTGCCTGCGGTAATGTGTCAATATTGAATTTTGTAGTGAATGAAATTGTAACATGGCATTTATAAAAAGAAGAAATACGGATGAGATGCGGACGCATAGAACCAGAGTAACCGGCATAGCTCAACGGATTAGTAAGCTCAAGTGGCTTGGTCGGCCAAATAGCTCGAAGAACCGGCAACCGATGGGGAATGGGGAGATGCAGGAAGTCGATGAATGGTGGCGTAGTGGCGGTGTTTTGTGGAACTCCTTGGGGGAGGCCTATGCCTAGCAGTGGACTTGTGAAGGGCTGGAATTATGATGATCATGGTTTATTAAAAGACTCCCAGTTTCTTGTCGCTTCCTCTTTGAGAACACCTTCTTTTTGCTAATCGGTTAAGATTTTGACGTTTATATGCGCATTAGGAAATCCTTATAATATAAAATTCCGTGAAAAGTGCATAAATGGCAGCCGTGGTAGCTCAGGGGTTAAACGCTCGCTGTAAATTTTAAATTTCACAGTACGCGAACAACCTGGGTTCGATCCCCGCTGGCACAAATGAAATCGTTCATTGCAATTTTAAGTTTTGATTTATCACTTGTGCTACGCGGTGAAGGAAAAAGAATATTTCGAAGACATGTGAAGTGCGCCAACACGCACTGGAGGATAAACACTTGATACCTACTTAACTTAATACTTACTTACCACCCTACTTACTACTTAATATCCTAAAACCCTCTCAGAAATGAGAGGAGGTCTGTGCCCAGTAGCATAACTTCAACTAACTTTAAATGACAGATACTATCGATGTTTCCAGATCGAGGGAAGATTGCCAGGAATTTCTCGAGGTTTGTTGTCAACGTAATCAAGTTCTCCAAAAATCCGCCAAACCTGAACTCAGCCCATTACCGAATGAATTAGGACACGACGTAGTACGCAGCGATGAGAAGCCGAAAGCGAGCGAATGTGGTTGGAGTAATCCTGGCGTGAACGTGTTCTTCACCCCCCGAAGTGGTGACGGAGGTGTTACCGATGGCAAAAAGGTCTACGCTGACTTCGGCGATTTTCCGTGGATGGTAGCCGTGCTCAAGTTAGTGTTTTTTTTAATATTATTTTAAGCCAGAGCTTAACTACCATTCCACCTGATGGTAGGTAGTGATGTAGATGGAGAAATTAAATTATGCAATTGCGCGCCAGTGTCCTAGGGTGGTAGGATGGGTTTTAACCAAATTCGGCTCACTAATAAGCCTCTTAGCACACCTTTCCATTGAGTTCAAAGTTGCCAGGTGGTATTTTGTAGAGCGGACTTGCGCTTTATATAAAGTAAGCAGCTGCCCCGGCGTGAAGTATTGCCGTGAAGTATCGTCCTTTGCAAGGACTCCTAGCTTCCTTGCAGCTGCTTTGGTCTTGGACTTAATGAACCGCCCGAAGTTCAGATTTGAGGATATCTCAACCTCCAACAACTGAGGGCGGTCGGTGTATTCTAGTAGTACATTTCGGAAAGAACAAGATGAGCTGGATCCTTTTTGCAGTGAAGAGACACGCTTGTGGTTTGTAGGCGTTGAATTTCACAAGATTGGCATCGCCCCATTCGGAGACTGCCTGTAGTGTGAGATTCACACGCTCTACCATAGTTTCTCTTTCGGCCTGGATTTGATCCCGATTGGGCCGAGTACTTGGTTCTCTCTCCACAGCTGTGCTATCGTCTGCATACCCATATATACGTGGCATAATTCTATTCCTGCTGCATAATTAATATGCAGCAGGAATAGAATTGCGGAGAGAACGGACCCCTGAGGAAAACCTGCGTTAGTCGCAACAGGATCGGATGAGCAGCCATCGACGACGACCCGGTGAGACCGTTCACTTAGAAAGTCTTTTATCCAGTCAATCAGACCAGGAGATAAGCCGTACCCGGAAAGCTTACCCAGAAGGCTAACGTGTCATACTCCATCAAAGGCCTTCGAGACATCAAGGGAAACAGCAAATACTTCCCCACTGTTCTCGATTGCCTCGCCCGATACGTGTGTGGCATACGCTAGAAGGTCCCCAGCTGACCGATTTCAGTGAAACCCGTATTGGCGGTCACTAAAGAGTTTATTATGTTCTAGGTATGCCACTAAGCGGGCGTTCAATATACGCTCCATAATCTTGCAGAGTATGGAGGTAATTGAGATTGGCCGATAATTGCCAGGGTCGGCATGGCTGTCTTTTTTTGGAACACGCTGTACGTAGGCCAGCTTCCAGGATTTTGGCACTACTCCAGTTCTAAATGGAAGGCGGAACAAGCGTGTCAGCACAGAAAACAACTCAGATGCACAAGGCTTTTGAACTATTGCTGGTATACCATCGGGTCGACTAGGTTTATTCACATCTAGACACCGCAAGGTTTTAAGAAGATCCTTATTTGAGATATGGACCTCGGAATTGGAGGTCACGCAGTTAGGTAATGTAGGTGGATGGTTATTGCCACTGTCCAGATGTGAATTGTAAGCAAAGAGAAACGCGAATAAGTGCGCTTTCTATTTAGCTGTATATGCCAGTGAGCCATCCACTTTACAGACAGGAGTTTGACTCAACCGCTTTGGCGAGAGACCAAAACGCTACCAGATGGTCAGGCAAAAAATTTTGCGCCAATATGTTTAGGCTAGCTTTCCGTAATGCTTTTTTGTAGGACTTGGCGGCCTGGTTGAAAGTTCTCTTCTTGGAGCTAATATTCGGAGCTTTGCAGTTTCGAGCGTCAACCCAGGATAGTTACGCTAAATGCTTGCGCCTTTCAGTTTGGGCGCATTCAGAGTTAAACCATGAGCGAGCTTTGCTACTGGTGGGAGCGTCAGAGAAGGGGATAAAATACTCCATAGCTTAACACATCACATCGGTTATCGCATCTGCGCAGCTCGACAGAAGAGAAATGGACCTCCCGCCAAGGATAGAATGCAAAAAGTGACGCATCTCATCCCAATCAGCTGACTTATACCGCCATATTCGTCGAACACTTTGGGACTCATAATCAGGTCGAGAATATAACGATACAGATTTCACCAGACGTGGTAAGATGTAGCCAAAGGGGGTAACCTGTACTTCATATCTATCTGGTTAGGTAGTCAACAGAAGGTCCAAACAATTGGCTGTGTGACCGTCTACATCGGGTACCCTACTCGTTTCCTTTACCAGCTGAGAAGAACCTAGCGTTAAGGCTAAATTCCACGCTTCTCTTCCAGCATGGCGGTCTTCTGGTATGGGAACAGCCATTCGTGGTGACAGGCGTTAAAGTCCCCCAGAAAGACCAGCTGTGCATAAGGATACCGATTAAGGGCCACATCAGCAGCCTCGCTAAGTGTTGTCTTCTGGTTACCAACACCCAGATATTCGCAAAAGTGGGGTCTTCAAGGTGACGGAGACGCTGAAAGCAGATGTCATTGCGGACGTACACATAGACTCCGGCACGTAGATGGAATTTGTGATCCAGGGAGAATCCAGAATCGTCAAGGTACGCTGCATTCAATGGACATCTGATTTGGGTCTCCGTCAAGAAAAGTAGGTGCGGCTTCTTAGTCTCAAGATGGTGATGAACTGCGCTGAGATTAGAGTGCAATCCTCGAATATTAGTGATGAGCAATTTTAATGTGTGTTTTTCACGATTCTATCATATATATTTTTTTACAATACCGTGCTGTCTTCGACTCGGCAAAAGGAGAAATTTCGTATTGCATTTTATTATGAGAAGCGAATCAATTTTGTCACAGTTGCGACGTTTGGCGAGCGGGTTGGCAACCGCAGTTTTTGTTTAGTTGTTTTTAGAAAGACACTTTCTGTCCATATCCTGATTTGATTCCCTCTGTCGCCTCTTACGACACCCACGGGACTAGGAGGTAGTGAATATTCAAGACATTACACAGTTAAGTTTATTTGTCTGTTTGATACAAATTTTGCGAGCGTATTTAAACTAAGTTCCCGGTGAGCGAGAGACTTGCAACTTTAAACTTAGGTCAGAACTGGAAACGTAGGTAAAGTTTCGCCATTTTTAATTATATTAAATGTATTACAAAATAATTTGTTCAGATCAACGTAATAAAATAATATGATGTTGTCTTACCTAGTTTAAAGAAGCACTAAGACCACATATATTTCCGGTCAGCCAACGGAGAGTCTACTTCACCTGAGGCTGCCCCGTGTAGGGGCGAAACACGTGTCGTATTGTCGACGGTGGTGTGTCTTTCGTAGTGTAGTGGTGTTGGGAGTAGTATTGGTGTTATTGGCTGTAACGGGGACAGTGCACGCAATTGATTTGTAACACCACTACTATAACGGATTTCCGCAAAGTAACGTCTGATTCTATTAATTATGTCTGTAATTGTCTCCCACGACATGGTGTTAATCTTTTTCCTATACACATAAAATATTTTCAGAAAGAAACAAGCAGAGGAAAAATGGGAGAAAAGCAACTATATTGGAGGAGGTTCGCTCATCCATCCGTCCGTGGTGATGACAACGGCGCATAAAATTGCAGGCAAAAAGCCTGAAGACGTAAGTTGTTTAGAGAAAATAATTACATTTAGGTTACAGCAAGCTGTATTCTTAATCCCCGACGAACAGAGAGGTGTTAACTGTTTGAGTGTGTATATGTGTATATGTGTGTCTGTGTATCAGTGTGTGTGTGTGTCTGTCTGTAGCACCATAGCACCTGGACGGATGAACTGATTTTGATTAAGTTTTTTTTTATATGAAAGGTGTTTTAATGGAGAGTGTTCCTAGCTATGTTTTACACGTGGTAGAGCCACGCTGCAGCTATATTATTAGTATAGTTGTAGCACGAATGGGTCGGCTCGACCGGGGAAGGACCACGCTCTCACAGAATATAATATACATAATTAACACTGGTGTGTTTCGTATGGTGAGTGTAGAGAACCGGAGACCCGTTTTACTGGAAAAGAGGCATTCCATCTTAGTCCTCACGGGTGACAACGCATCTGCATTTTGATTCACAAACGAGGATAAATGTAGATGTCTATGGGTCACAGCGACCACTTATTATCAGGTGGACTGTGTGCTCGCTTGTCACCCTATCCTATAAAAAAAATCTGTTCAGCCGTTTGAAGATCATCAGCTCTTTTTGTTTCAGGGGGTTTTTATTTAAATTTGTTTATTATTATTTGATTATTATTTATGATGCCGGCACTACACGTTCCAAATATTCGTCCGAATCTGCACGAACTTATTTGAACAAATAGTAATTTCTTCACAGTATAAACTAAACCTAGCAAGCTAACAGCATAGCAAAGTGGCGAAGCAATCAGCTTTGTAGCGGATTCTAACGGTTGCCGTTGAGCAATCAGTTTCAAAATAGGAGGTTCAGATGCCTGGGTGATCAGTAATCGATTGCTGAAAACAGAATTTGAAAATTCGAAACCGTTCTCGAGATAATCGTGGGACAGACGGACAGACATCGTGAAATCAATAAACCTAGCAAGCTAACAGCATAGCAAAGTGGCGAAGCAATCAGCTTTGTAGCGGTTTCTAACGGTTGCCGTTGAGCAATCAGTTTCAAAATAGGAGGTTCAGATGCCTGGGTGATCAGTAATCGATTGCTGAAAACAGAATTTGAAAATTCGAAACCGTTCTCGAGATAATCGTGGGACAGACGGACAGACGGACAGACGGACAGACCGACAGACATCGTGAAATCAATAAACCTAGCAAGCTAACAGCATAGCAAAGTGGCGAAGCAATCAGCTTTGTAGCGGTTTCTAATGGTTGCCGTTGAGCAATCAGTTTCAAAATAGGAGGTTCAGATGCCTGGGTGATCAGTAATCGATTGCTGAAAACAGAATTTGAAGATTCAAAACCGTTCTCGAGATAATCGTGGGACAGACGGACAGACGGACAGACGGACAGACATCGTGAAATCAATAAGTGACTTCGCAAGCTTCGCCACTTAATAAAGTCACTTCCCGTCGTCTGTAAGCATAGATCTTTTAAACTACGCAACGGATTTAGATGCGGTTCGGTTCGGTTCGCGGAAAGGTTTATATTTTAAGGAAAGATTAATAGATGCATATTATATACTAGATGTTCCCCGCGTGTGCGCCCACGTGTAATTTGGATTTTATGGGTTTTAATTTTTTTTTGCGCAGAACCCTAATACTTTTCCCAAAATAAAAGTAGCCCACTCCTTATAACATCAGCTATCTGCCAGTGAAAGTCCAGTCGAAATCGGTTCACAGGTTTTGGGTGATACTTGTTCAGACAGAGAGCCGTGGTAGCTCAGATGGTTAGCGCTCGACGTAACTTTCACAGTTCGCGAGCAACACGGGTTCGATCCCCGCCGGCACCAATGAAATTGTTAATCGCAATTTCAAGTGTTGATTTACCACGTGCTCGGCGGTGAAGGAAAACATCGTGAAGAAACCCGCATGTATGAGAAATAAGAAAAAAATATTTCGAAGACATGTGAAGTTCGACAACACGAATTGGGGCAGCGCGGCGTACATTTCCTCGGCCTAAAACCCTCTCAGATATGAGAGGAGGCCTGCGCCCAGCAGTGAGACGTATATAGGCTGTAACTTTAACTTTTGTGTTCAGACAGACGTCGTGTTAGAGTTTTATTATAGTATACCTAGATTATAATATTATAATTATTCACACCGTGTGTATGTGACTGTACTCCTCCTTAAGAGCTAGACTGATTATTCCGATCTTCCGGTACCATACAAACCGTTTGGATGCTTAGCTGTACACCACTGCACGTTTTACCTGGGAGTTTTCTTCCTCGTACGACCTCTCTGTTGAACTAGTGTACCACCGACGAACTTTCCGGACCGATACGATTAAACTACGTACCGTACTTTTTATTGTGACTTTGATCTATGATGTTTTAAAATGAAAAAATAACGGAAATACGTTTTAAAAGACATGAAGATAATATTATAATTAGTAACTGTTTTTTAACTTGTTGTCTTGATTATATTGATTAAAGTAATAAATATAGAAAAGTATTTAATTGCAACTAACACATATATAACAAAGTGACGATGAAGTTATCACGTTAAATGAAAAGACGTATTCTATACAAAGTTCTTTAAACATACACAACTAAAAAAAATATATAACAATTAACATTCTGGGCGCGGTAGCCTTTTTTTTGTTTTAATATTAAACAACATCATGTAAATGCATCAGATATCACCTGATAAATACTAGAAGTTCAAAGACCCATGGCCCGTGAAGGCCAAGAGACCTATATTGTATTATAGTGCAACGTTGCCAATTTTAAATAATCAAATAAAGTAATAAATTAAGCAAAAAATGTACTTATATGTAACAAAATAAGGCATAATTCTTATGCGCGATGCGACAAGAATTGGGACGGGGTGTTGGGAGGGTGGGATGTGGTCAGTAAGTCACTTAGTCCGACGCCGGCGTCTTTGGGAACGGTTCATTAATCGCTTGACCTAATTTTAGTTTTTCGCGTACACGTCCTTTTAATTTAAAGTTTTTTTTTTGTGGATATTTTCATAAGTTTCTTGATTTGTTTGTGATAGGACACGTTAATACTATAATAATAATTGTGTTGAGGAGGTGGTGTGACTATTTGTGCGAAATTTGACGCTTTCTTTTACTGTCTTGTATTTTTTATTTGTGATAGGACTCGTTAATAATAGATAAGTGATATTTAATAACTTAGTGGTGTGTCAGCCCGTGCGCAATTGGACGCTTTTATTTTTTTAAACGTATAACTTTTTTTATTTTAAAATGCCTCGTATCAATTTTACGTCATTGGAATACACCGATATGGTTTTAATTTATGGAGAATGCCACCAAAACGCGTCCCTGGCATTACAAACATACCGAGAGAGGTATAATACCACACGTGTATGTCCTACAGACTCACGGATTTTTATACGGGCAGTCCAAAGATTACGTGACGGCGAAAATTTGATTCCACGTCAGGTTGAAATTCCTCCGCGAGTCGCCGTGGCTCAGGAAGAACGAATATTAAATTATTTCGCTCGTAATCCAACATCAAGTCTCCGTAGAGCAGCTCGCCAATTCTGTGTACACCACAAGTCTGTTCACAGAATATTAAAAAAAAACAAGCAACGGCCGTTCAAATACGTAAAGGTACAGGCTTTATTAGATAGAGATAAGCCAGTTAGGGAAGCCTACTGTGAATGGCTCCTGAGCAAAGTAGCTAATGACTCTAACTTTTTAGCAAACGTAATGTGGACTGACGAGAGCACATTCACGCGTAACGGAATATGGAATCGGCAGAACTTACGATACTGGAGTCAAGAAAATCCGCAACTGTGTCGAGAGTCTATGCACCAATATAGATTTGCCGTTAATGTTTGGGCTGGAATACACGGAGATCAAATAATTGGTCCCGTGTTTATCGAAGGCAACCTTAATGGGCCTAAATTTTTGGAACTGCTTGACGACACAGTGGCGGATTACGTTGATGGACTATCGTTGGGGGCCAATAGCCGGTTATGGTACCAGCTTGATGGAGCACCTGCTCATTCAGTGGTGGCTGCCAGGCAGCGCCTCACTGAGATGTTCGGAGAGAACTGGATTGGCAGATACGGACCTTCCCGGTGGCCAGCACGGTCTCCGGATCTAACACCGTTAGATTTCTTTTTATGGGGTTACATAAAAAATGAGGTGTACTCTACTGAAGTAACGACTGTCGAGGACTTAAAAATAAGAATAATGCGGGCTTTCGACAAAATAAAAAATTTTGCAGCGAATGGTGCCCTCTTTCGAAAAGTCCGAAATAATATCATGCGACGATGTCAATTATGCATTCGGGTACACGGCGGACATTTTGAAAATTTAAAAATTTGATTTGTTTCATAAACTTGAGTGATTTCAAGGTTAAAGTGATTATTTGGATAAAAAAATACCATGAAATTTGTGATTTGTTGATAACATCGGATTAGCATCGCCCTACGCGTGCCTAATTACCTATGTATGGGCAAGTCCTAGGACCTAGGTATTATAATATAATTACCTATATCGATGTCGCATGAGCAATGAACCGCTGGCCGCGACGTTGCCGCTTCTACAAGTCATTTCAGGTCAGTTAAGTAATATTATCAAGGATGATTTATTTTATGTGATTTTTTACCCTATTTATTTTGTTTGAAAGATGCATTTTTTATTAGTTTTTATTATTGTTTATTTTATTATTTTAACAGACATATATCAACTTGTATTAACTGTTGTGCTATTTAACGTGATAACCTGGGCGCCACCCAGTATACGTACTAATAATGACCTTCAAGGAAAGAGCTTACTCGTTTCTAAACGGACACCAACGCACCTTCTATTCCCCTGGTATTGCAGTTGTTCATGGGCGGCGGTAGTCCCTTACAATCAGGTGAGCCGTATGCTCGTTTGCCCCCCTCCTATAAAAGTAAACATAAAAAAAAACTCTTTAAGATTAAGGCGTACATTAATGTCTTTTCAACACAGCTGAAGATCCGCGCTGGAGAATGGGACACCAAGTCACTAGATGAAGAATACGAACATCAAGAAAAAACCGTTGCCAAGATCGTTATACATCGAGACTATTTCCGACGTGAGTTACGAGATTATTGTTATATCTTTTGTGTTATATATACTGGGTTACTTATTTTGTAATAACCGCCCAAATATGCAGAGATGGTTCAGAATAAGTAATATAGGCAAATGGTGAAGAAAACTTAATTAAAAAGAAATATCAAACATTCTGTCCTTTTTATATTTTAAATTCAAAATGTGTGGTAACGCGTTAATTTAACTGATTTTACTGCGCACGCACACGTTCGTAGTGGTCGATCGGTAGGCAAAAACTTTGTTGCCCATAAATCACATTCAATTTGGGATAATACGAGTATCAAATAAAAGTAGAAGCCTTATTTACTCGTATTTTCAAAATTTGAAATAACGGTACATAATTATTTACATATTTGAATTTAATTTTAAAATTTGGCTACTCTTTGAAAATTAACCCTGTATAAATTCTTTCGCTACGTTTGTAAGAACTACGCCAACTCAACTCGACTACGACTCATTCAGCTACGTTATATTACGAGTCCAATAATACTGGTATAAGTTCTGTATTTTTTTAGCAGATTTACCTGCTTAAAATTAGTTTCAAATTAAAAAGTAAAACTGTTGAATATCTGTTTACCTTAAGGGAATACAATGAAGTTTTACAAAATTGTTGTATAGATAAGAAAAATTTATTCTCTATAAAAAAAAAATTGTAGATTCACAATTGGACTCGCTAGGTGGCGCTGTTGTCGAGATCCCGAAATCGTCCGTGGGAAGCAGGGGCGGATCGCCAGTTTATAACATAACATAACTCTATTCTACTCTGACAGCTGACGGCGGAAATCTAATAAGTATGTACTTTTTCATTGCAGCTTCTCTATACAACGATATAGCGCTGCTATTCCTGGAGGAGCCAGTCGATTTAACAGACGCACCGCATATAGGCATTGGGTGTCTCGGCAAACAGATGCCACCGGCAGACACGAGCTGCTTCAGCATGGGTTGGGGCGCAGATAACTTCAACAACAAATCTGTTTTCGCGCCGATACTGAAAAAGGTGACCTTTTCATTGTTGATAGGAATAAAGAATAATTTGTTTGGACAAAGCAGACCATTGACGTACATAACAATAAACTAATTAATAATAAAAAAATCGAAATCTATATATTAATATGTATAGGCTGATGTACCTCTTTTTAACCGACTGCGGAGGGTAATGTGTTTACTCGTATCAGTTTATCAGCCTATATATATGAATGTATGCATGTTTGTTCCTTTGTGTTGCTAGAGGCTTTAGAGACCAAAGGCGTGGACCGATTTTGACGATTCGTACGTCATTTGATTTGTCTTAGTCTTACGAGTGTTACTAAAGACATGATAGTAATCAAAATTCAATATGGCGACAACCAGACGCCATATTGTGAAAAAGAAAAAAATGAAAGTCGACGAACTATGTCAAGTAGGATATCATTGATTAGGTCTTTGAAAATTATATTTAGGTTTCTCTAGTCATTTTTAATTTTGAATAACCATTTAAGATTGAACGCGGGAAGAGCTTGCACGCACAATCGTGAGGCATTGTCTTATCCATTTTTATGTGCGTTGAATCTGTCACGCGCTATTAATACTGCATTTTTATTGAGAGAAGAAATAGCGTCGTGTAAAGGCTAATCGCGCGTGATTAATTACGGGAAACTTTCGCGACCTGGTGTATAAAAACGCAGTTTTGTTAAACGCGCTTTCTGAAAATTAGTGTTTTTTTTATAGGATAAGGGTGACAAACGAGCACACAGTCCACCTGATGATAAGTGGTTGCTGCGGCCCATAGACATCTACATCTATCCTCTATTACAAATCAAAATGTAGATGCGTTGTCACCCGTGAGGACTAAGATGGAATGCCTCATTTCCAGTAAAAAGGGCCTCCGGCCACCTGCACTCACCATGCGAAATGCAGAGGTAAACCTCTACTTCACGCTGGTTTTCTGTGAGGTCGTGGTACCACCCCGGTTCGAGCCGGCCCATCCGTGCGACAGCAATAGCTGCCGCGTGGCTCTACCACTATAAAACTAATAAAAGTGTTCTAAAAAAAAATATATATATATATAGGATAGAAGGGATATTATTACACAAACATATATGTTTGCTGGTCTATGCTTATAATAGATTATATATTTTTGAATTTAATTTTATATATTTATTTTAATATATTATTAAATTAAATCAAACGTAAGATGACATGCATGAGAATTTGTGTTCTTCAGAAATGGATTCTGTAATATGACCCATGCTCAAATAATCTAATGTCCGTAATTTTACAACGCCAATCGTTTTCACAAAACCGTAAGTGTAAATTATCTTTGAAGTGCACAGACCTGAACGCACGATTGGGGTGAGTGGAGGCGAGCTGTCCAAACTTGAAATTTAATGATTTCTGTCGAATTTAGACTACTAGTTTTAATAAATTTGACTTTCCACGTCGAAGGCATGCCAAAAACTGTCATTACTCAGCATGAGTTATGGCAGAAACCACAACGCTGATTTTCAGTAATGACCAAAACATCCTAGGAAAGAACAGCTCCGAGATGATAAAGATACCGTTCCCTTTAAAGTCAGAACATAGGCCTCCCTTATAGATTGTCTCATAGGGGATTGTGCCAATCATTTATTTCATTTTTCCTCTGTTGCCTCTTACAAGAACCACGGGGCGATATGGAGTAATGTATGTTCTTACACTGCTACTACCCGGTTAAATGTGAAGTAAAATTTCTTAAACTCGACTCGAGGGTAACTCACAATTTTGTACGGAGGTAACCATTTGTAAAAACTATAATAGGTCATTCACGCAGAAACAGAAACAGAAACTTTTTTATTCCATATAGATTATAAACAATACATAGTGAAAGTCACTCTTGTTTAATTACCACTGGTTCGATAAAGTCTCTGTCCTGGGAAGAACCAGCAAGAAACCCAGAGGGGCTTTTTAAAAAAAAACAGCTTACAATCATATATGTTACACAATTAACAACACAACAAATTAGAAATAGTTTGGTAGCGATCACCTCATTTCCAGGGGTTATTATCATCCATAAATTCCTTAATGTTATAATAACCCTTTTTGTACAAACTTAGTTTAATAAAGTTTTGGAACTCTGAGCGGGTCAAATTATTTTTCTTATATTTACGCAAAGACTATACATTAAATAAAATTATTTTTTTACGGATTTCATCATACAAATTTTAGTTTCATTTAAGGTCAAATTTTGTATATTTTCTGGAATTTTGTTGTAAAAGCGTATACATCGCCCCAAGAATGAATTACTGACTCGGTGGAGTTAAGTATTTGGTCCTCTCATCTTGTATCTGTTCCTAGTATTTACAGAATGAATACCACTTACATTGCATTTTCATAAATGTATTGAGAGGCCAAAGTTAATACATTATTTTTCCTTAAATTTTTGTCGCAGCGACTCGTTAGGCTTTAAATTATAAATTACTCTTATCGCCCTCTTCCGTAAAACAAACATAATTTCAGTGTAATCTGCGTGTCCCCATAGCAAAATGCCATACGATATTATGCTATGGAAATAGCTAAACTAGTCTAGCTGTTTCAACACTCGTAAGATTTCTAATCTTTTTTACAGGCTGCAGAACTAAGTCTGCTTGCTAGTTTTGATATATGATGGCTCGGCTGAAACTTCGCGTATAGTGTTTTCGTTTTTTCATTTTTTCATTTCATTTTAGTGCCACTCAAATGAAAATTATTAACATTGAACCAATTTATTAATTTAGATATAGCATTATTTCTTTTATTTTCTTATCCCCTACCATAAAAGGTGTCATTAATGTATATAAGAAACATAAAGGGGCCTAGAATTGAGCCTTGAGGCATGCCCATTTGTACCATCGACCCGGAAGAGCTCATACTGTTAATGACAACTTTTTGCGTTCTCTTACTTAAATATGAAATAATTAATTTAAGATCATCACTTCTTAAACCGTAGTGTTGAAGTTTCTTGATTAACGTTTCGTGGTGAACACAGTCGAAGGCCTAGGATAGGTCACAGAATATACCCAAAGCATCCTGTGAATTCTTCCATGCATTAAAGATATATTTAATCAGCTCAACACCGGCATCAATTATCGAGCGACACCTTGTGTAACCAAATTGATTTTTATGAAGTAAATTAATTATTTATCTATAATGGAAAAATGAATCGCTGTATGTGTTGCTAAGCGCAAATCTCGAGACCTGCTGAACTGATTTCGCTAATTATTTTTTTATAAAATTTCTTGAAGTACGAAGATGGTTCTTACGGAGAGAAAAAATTAAAAAATTGCCTGAAACAGTCCAAAAACGACACTTTTCTATATTCCCATACAAAAGATTCGTAATAATACTTAAAAGTCAATTTGAACTTTAATACCAGGGCAGGAACATTAGGAGTTCCAGGAAGGCAAAACAATTGAGTGACGTTAGTATCGTAAAATACTAACGTCAATATTTGTCAATTAGAATAAGTAAAAATAAAATGAAATATAATAAGTAGGTATCATAATAAGAAATCAGAAATTGTAATTTTCGTTGTGATTTTTAGTGACTATTAAAAGAAGTGTTTTATATTTTTTTTGACATAATGTGGTTGTGGACTTATCAACTTTCTTTATACTTTTTTTATCTTACTAGCTGACCCGGTGTCCCAAATAGCAGAATAAGTATTATAAAAAATTTAAAGAATCGATTGTTAGGCAGTACGAAGTTCGCCGGGTCAGCTAGTATTAAATAAATTTAACATTTGATCAAGAACAATTTTTTCAAAAAATTTACTAAGTGTTGGTAGTACAGAAATAGGTCTAAAATTGGCGGGGTCTAATGTACTACCAGATTTAAATAAAGGTATTACTTTACTATGCTTCATTAAATCGGGAAACACACCACATTCGATACTAATATTAAAAATAATAGGTAGATGAGGCGCAATTGTATCTATTATAGACACAATAACTTTAACGGAAATCCCCCAGTTTCTGCATTTATAAAAACAGCGGCTGACTTGAGTTTCAATGAGGGTTTATAATCTTTCGGTCACCAGATGTCGCTAGTTGACACTGAGGCGAAGTTTTTTGTTACACAATGTCTTTAATTGAGAAGTTCGTATTAAATAAGAGTTCAACAGTTTCTAGAGTATTATATTTATATAAATATATTTGCTATTTTATTTCTTGCATATTTTTAATTGTTTTTAAAAAAATTTAAACCTTTTTGAATATCTATGGTTTGGTTTATTAATTTTTAATCAAAGAATATAAAATATAATTAATTGTACAGAAAGAAACATAATCTTTACATTTTTCGAACAAATGAACTTCCTCGCTATGAAATCTGTCAAATATTACATCTGATTTTTAAGTGGCGCCGCCCTGGTGGAAACGAAAATCGTGGATGCTTTCATTTCTAAGGTGTAATACGAGTAGGTAAGCACTAAGAATATTTAAACATTTTGCACAACCGACTTGAATATATATTATTAAGGATAACTCAAAAACGATTGACCTGAACTTGATCAAATTTATATGGGACCACATGAGAAGCACCAGCTTTCAAAAGAATCATCGAAATCGGTTCACGAAGAACAAAGTTATGAGGTAACACACCTAAGAAACAAACAGTCAAATTGAATTGTCCTTCTTAGTCGGTAGAAATCATCTTGCGCCTCTTCCTTCTGTATTACCCTTCAAAAATCATCGGTTTGTGATCAGTAGGACATTTTCTGTCTAAAACTAAACCATAACTTAACACCATTCTACAGGTGAAACTGCCGTTAGTAGAGCACAGTCAGTGTGAGGAGATGCTCCAGAAGACAAGACTTGGTCGTCACTTCCGTCTCCACACGTCTTTAACTTGTGCAGGCGGTCAGGCTGGCATCGACACATGCAAGGGTGATGGAGGTTCTCCCCTCGTCTGTCCGATTGGTGTAAGTGTGTTTTTTTCTAACATCGTCTATTCTTCTAGGCTAACGTGCATAGACTTTGGGTATTCTCAACCGCTACCTGGATTGTAAGTCAATAAATTTCATACATATTATATATGTATATGGTACCTACGGCTAATATTGGCTGGCAGCAACTAGATGCATGAAGCCGGCTTATGTCCTATGTCCAGCAGTGGACTGCAGCAGGCTGATGATAATGATGATGATGAATGTGTGATAAATATTAATAAAACAGTGGGTGAAGCACGCTGCAGCTGTATTATTTCGGCAGCATTGTTTCGGTTTGGCTGGGGAAAGACCACGCTCTCGCAGAGTAACAACGTAAATAGCAGCTTAATACTGCTTTTTGTCGTATAATGAATGTAAAGAACTGGATACCACTTTTACAAGTAGTGAGACATATAGAATGCCTTAGTCCTCAGGGGCGACAAGACATCTAAATTTAATTTTTTTTTCTAATAGACTAAGTGTGACAGTACTGATGATAAGTGGATGCTGTGGCCCATAGACATCTACATTTATTCCCGATCAAGAATCAAAATGCAGATGTGTTGTCACCGAATAGAATGCCCCGTTCCCAGTAAAAAGGGTCACCGAAACCATTATACTTCTATAATGATGCGGTGTTTCATATGCTTGTTGAATGAAGGGAGCTGGAGACCCTTAATCAGTAAAGTGACATTCCGTGAATAAAACGGAAATACGCTGTCACGCTTGCCTTAGCCTGCAAAGCGAGGGCATAGATAACACGAAGGCGAGATGGATCGCTGTCATTATCATCATTACAACCCTTCCCAATTCCACTGCTTATGCCTCCCCCAAAGATTGCCACAAAGCACGCTCCTGAGCTACCTGCATCCATCGACTTCTTGCATATCTTACCAGGTCGTCACTCCATCTAGAGGGGGGCCGCTCCACATTTCACCTACCGGTACGAGGCTGCCACTCGAGAATCTTGTTCTCCATCGGTTGTCGGTTCTTCAAGCTATATGGCCAGCTCATTGCCACTTCAGCTTACTAATCAGTTGAACTATGTCGGTTATACTCTAGTTCTACTGCGGATATCCACATTTTTTTAATTCTCGCCATGGGGAGTATGTTACCATAATGGCCACGTGGGTTGGAAACCGCAGCTTCTGTATTGTTATTTTGCTGCTATCAGAAAGATGCTCCTGTCCTCATTTTCCTTCTGTCACCTCTTACGACACCCACGGGAAGGTATGGGGTATTGGAGATTCTTACACCGCCAAAACTACACGGGTGGATCGCTAGTTGTATATATAAAAATGATTTCATCTTAAGTTTCCATAATGTTCCTCCAGGTCGGTGGTTCGCGGTTTGCCATCTTTGGCATGGTCGCCTACGGAATCGGGAAATGCGGCGGGACTGATATTCCCGGTGTGTACGTGAACGTCCCGGAACTTTATGACTGGGTGGAACAACAGCTCTACGCACAGGGCTACGATGTCCACCCTTACGTTTATTAATATAAAGCCTAAATAGGATCAGCATAATAATTATGAAATTGTTTCTCAAATATTTTGCGCATAAATAAATAGTTACAAAATAATTTTTGGTATCATTACATTTAATTTTTTTACTATATTATTTCAATATTTATATATATGTACTTTAAATTACATTCCTGTTTGTTAACGTTTCACATAACTACCTCATATTTTTATCTCTACATCACCCAATGGTTGAGTGGTAGAGAAAGTCTCAGGCATTAAGTCCGCCTATACCTATTTAAACCTATCCCGCATAAATCAAACCGAAACCATGCTCAATTTTTTTTTCAATAGAAGAGGGCTAAACTAGGATGCGGCTCATCTGATGGTAAGTGTCGATGCGTACATGAACAACTGCTACACCCGGGGGGATTGCAGTTGCGTTGCCTACCTTTAAAAAGAGTAAGCTCGTTTCTTATACACATACATACACACACACACACGCGCACACACACACGCACGCACGCACACACACACACACACACACACACACACACACACACACACACACACAAACACACACACACACACACACACAATAAAATAATTTGCAACTGTTTTAGGTGCACATGTGTGCGTCAAGCTATTAGCTATAACGAAATAAAGAAGAAAGATGTGTGCTTGAGTTTGTGGCAAGAAGTTGAGCATGGTTTTTGCGTCTCTACGTCTCTTTCTTTTTTGGTGAGACCTATCCATAAAAGTCGTCTTTATTAGCTATCCGTACAAGTCCAGTTCTTCTTCTTTATTGCATAGTATCAATAAAAAATTAAGTTGGGAGTTTTTTTCCCTAGTTTGGCAACTACCAATACCAATGGCCTCTGCCAGCGTCAAGTACTTCATAAAAGTCACACAGTTTATTTAGTCTACGAAGTTTCAGTTTCCGTAGATAGGTTTACTTTACTTTAAGTTACGGAGTTACAAGTTATTTTCGGATAAAATAACATAGATCATCATCATCAATGATGATGATCGTCATTACAGCCACCACAAGTCCACTGCTGAACATAGGCCTTCTCCAAGGAATGTCACAAAGCACGGTCCTGATTCACCTGCATCCATCGACTTCCTGCATCTTACCAGGTTTTCACTCCATCTAGTGGAGAGCCGCCCCACACTTCGCTTACCGGGAGGAGCCTGCCAATTAAGAACCTTGCTTCCCCATCAGATTTCGGTTCTTCGAGCTATACGGCCGGCCCATTGCCACTTCAACTTAATAATCCGTTGGGTTTTCTCAGTTACTCTGGTAACTCCGTTACTATGTTTGCTGGTTACTCTGTTTCTCTCTCCTAACATAGATAGTTTCACAAAATTACTGCAAGTATAATAAAATGGAAGTTGGGAATTGGGATTATAGCACGTATTTATAATGAATGACAATGTCAAGCACAACAAAAAGGTATACAAAAGAGGTCGGTATGCTGAACCTCTTGTGACGAGTCATTATTATTATTATTATTTTTTATAGCAGAGGGGGCAAACGAGCATGCGGCTCACCTGATGGTAAGTGACTACCGCCGCCCATCACAAGTATTGTTATGCTTGCGCCCACAACTGCAACACCAGGGAGGGAATTGCAGATGCGTTGCCAGCCATTTAAAAAGGAGTACGCTCTTTTCTTGAAGGTCCCTAAGTCGTATCGGTCCGGAAAACTCGCTGATGGTAATCGATTCCACAAGGAAGTCGTGCGAGGAAGAAAACATCTTCTAAATCGCACAGTGGTGGACCGCCAATCATCCAGATGGTGTGGATGGTATCAGGAGTTCTGCCGCGATGTGCGTTCGTGAAATTTGGCGGCTGGGATTAATCCGAACAATTCCTCAGAGCACTCCCCGTGGTAGATGCGAAAGAAAATGCAAAGGGATGCAACATCTCTTCGCAGTGCCAATGAATCGAGCCGATTGGAAAGGGCTCGGCCGTCGACGATTCGAGCCGCTCTGCGTTGGTTGCGGTCAAGTGGAAGGAGCTGGCACTGGGGAGCCCCTGCCCAGAGATGGGAACAGTATTCCATGTGAGGCCGAACCTGCGCATTGTAAAGTTGCAGGCGGTGTGCCGGCATGAAATACTGTCCCGCTCTGCTGAGCACGCCAAGCTTTTTAGAGGCCAATTTGGCCTTCTCTTCCAAGTGACCACGAAACTGCACATCACTCGATATGTCGACTCCGAGGATACCGATACTGGTTGAGGCAAGAAGGGGAGTGCCTTGAAACTGAGGAGATACGACAAAGGGGTTCTTTTTAGCGGTAAACGCGCAAACTTGTGTCTTCTGAGGATTAAACTGGACTAGATTTAGTCGCCCCCAATCCGAGACTTTGTTCAGCAAAGACTCGACTTCAGACACAAGTTTGTTCCGGTACTCGGCGACGTTTTCCCGAGAAATATTGGCACGGCCGGTGTATAGAGCATCACCAGTGCTGTCATCCGCATAGCAATTAATGTTACCAGTTAGCAACATATCATTGATATGCAGAAGAAATAGCGTTGGTGATAGCACACAGCCTTGTGGAACACCAGCGTTAATAGGCTTATAGTCAGAGCATGCACCGTCTACAACGACCTTGATGCTCCGATCTGCAAGGAAGCTGGTGATTATTATTTATTATTATTATTAATAAATAATAATTAAATTCAATATAAACACAAATTTATTTTGAATAATTAAAATCTCAATATCATAGATGTAATATTTTTAACAATTAAATTGCGTTAATAAGCATAAAGTTCAAATAAATTCATTCAGAATATTAAGTATTATAGTATAGTAAAGCCTTAACGATGAAATTAGTTGGGGCTGAGCCGCAGGCTACCAACGGCTCGCAGGTGGCGGATTGCGAACGGCCACCAGATATGGTGGTTACTTGCAAATATACTGAATTAGCAGTTCCCGACCAAGCAGCGACAGTAGTTACCAGGGTGTAGTGGTGATTCTGGTGGGATAGGCTTACTTAAAAATGCTACTTAGACCCAATAACAATACTTGTGACGTGGCGAGTAAGCGCCGCCATTAAATAATCGCTCCGCCCCTGGATCCAGGCAGCAGCGGAAACAGTACTGGCCGAAGGCCGAGGTGAATGTCATTAATAGGGTTTCTGACCAGATATGCAAGGGCGCACATGCGGCCAGGTAACTGCGATACGGAAGGCAAGGGAAAACCACCGTATTATTTCTTCCAAGAATTACCGCCATGGAGAGTACTATAAAAGAAATGGCCCTGACTACCCGTAGGCCTTAAATGGTCACAGGGTGCTAATATCCCCGGGTGTGTTTTTAAAATAGGAATATCGAACGTTAGAAGTTTATATGAAGATGGAAGGACGTACAATACATTATAAGAAATGGAAAGAATGTCACAGGATATATTAGGCCTCAGCGAGATGAGATTGAAGGGAAAAGGAGAAACAAATTAGGGAAACCAAAAGAATTTATTTTTCGGGAAATAACGATACGCACTACTGAAATGGAGTTGGTTTCATTATTACAAAAGAGATGGCAAAGCACGTTAATAGCTTTACTCCTATAACTAATAGGGTGGCTCTACTAAAGTTAAATGGCCATCCATTCAATTTACACACTATCCAATTATATGCGCCCGCAGCTGAAAGCTCTGATGACGCGATAGATTCGTTTTACACAGATATTACAGAATGTTCGAAGCTTACTAAATATCACGACATTAATATAATTATAGGAGACATTAATGCAAAGGTTGGACAGAGACCTAAGGACGATGTTGTGGGGTCTTTTGCTCTGGCAAATAGTAATGAGCGAGGCGATCGCCTGGTTGATTTCTGTCTAGAACACGACTATGTGATCACAAACACTTTCTTTCAATTACCATCGCGCCGCTTTTATACATGGAAGGCACCTATGGATAAACCGGGAACATATAGTGCGCAACCAGATCGATTACATTATGGTAAATAAAATTTTGTACATACCGACTTCAATAAAAATTATTAAGAATAACTCAAAAACAATTGGTCAGACCTTCGTCATATTTGTATGGAACCACATGAGAAGCACAAGCTTTCAAATAAAAAAAGAATCATTGAAATCGTTTCAACCAGAAAAAGTTATGAGGTAACACACATAAAAAAAACATACAGTCGATTTGAGTACCGTCTCCTTTTTGAAGTCCGTATAAAAACCCTGAAAATGAATAGCAGTCAAATGTTAAAAAAGAAAGAATTTGTTTACACTAGGCGATAGGACCCTTTTTTTGTCTAGACGTCCCCTTTGGTAGGTACCATCGCCTTTCTTAATCCTGTTTTCCAGCTTTAGTTCTTGCAATTTTGCGTTCTGATGTGAAAGGCCGCATTAGCCACATACCGGTGCCACTTTAATTTCATTAAAGAAAATGTGGATTTATATCAATTCACAATGCAGTTAGCATATATTATATGTATATGGTCTTTTCCTCGCCTACTCTACTAACAACGAGGGATAATAAGCTTACGCTCACCAGATGTCGCTAGTTGGAGACTGCGGTGAAGTTTTTTGGCACACAATGACATTTAATTGAGAAGTTAGTATAAATAACATTTTATCAGTTTCTGGAGTATTATATTATTATACAAAACTATGTCTCAGTGGTTTGCTCTTCAATTTTTTACACGTTTTAACTCTTTTGAATTTTTTTTACCTTTAATGAATATCCGTAGTTTGCTTTATCTATTTGTAATCTAATTAATATAAAATATAACAAATGTTACGGAAAGAAACATTAACCTTTACACTTTTCTAACAAATTAACTGCCCCGGCTATGAAATTTGTTAAATATTTCATCTCAAGCCTAAGTGGCGCCGCCCTGGTGGCCGAAAAAGTCATGGATCATTAACTTATATTTTCTTAAGCTGCCACAATACACCTCATGCAATACTTTATTAATATTTCTATAATTTGTAGTATTTTTATTTCCGTTAAACGGATAACTTCAAACATCATAAAAATGTAGAGTAAAAATATGTCATAAGTCATATTTTACTCCTTACATATTTTATATCTGTGTGCATTAAGGCTTCTGTTTATTTATAACCTGTTTTAGTTATACTTTTTAATTTGGTCGTATTATAAGCGATAAGATACTTCGCAATCGCTAAGCCCTATTGACCGCAAGATAATTTCATTCCTTAAGCTGCTGACAAACTTAATTTCGTCTTAATTCAAAAAATTACTTTTATTTAGTCTCACTTTTAACTAATCTCACTTTTTGTTTAAATAATCTGCCGGTGACTGATTTCTATTCGATTACAATCTAGGCGTCTTCAAGTCAAGAATAGAATTCTGTTACGCTAAGACAGTGCGTTTTACCATCTAGGATTTATTAACACTTACCACCTGGTAATATAGTCAAGCACTAGATTATAATTAGTAAAAATAATAACTATATGTCTATACTAAGTTGTACTTTTAAAATCACTAACCCTTCAATACTATTAAGTACTTTCTTTTGCAGTTGAAAAATAAATAAAATTTAAAATACTTGCTTGGGTAATTAATCTTACTTTGATGTAAATAAGGAGCAAAATCGTATTTGTGAAAATATATTTCTAATCCTTGTAAGTGATTCGGTTGATCAGATGGAATATGTTCTGAATTATAATGAAAACAAAGTTCAGTTTCGGATGTCACAGTTCATAATACGTCAAAGTGCTCCACCGTTCACATTGAGTTACCGAGTGAAATACTTTCTAGTCTTATGAGTAGTTTGTATTAAACATGGTTGACGTCCTTGTAAACAAATACCTGGTATAAAACCTAGTCACGTAAATACGCACTCAAATAAAAGTAGTGATTATATTCTCTTTGCACTCAACCTTGATCGCATCTTGACGTCACCGAACGCAAACCACACGTCTGTTGGTCGCTTAAATTATGTATTTCGAACTTGTTTTCTGTGTTCCTCACAACTTTATCAAAGTTCATTAACAGTAGTTCATTCTGTTAGTATATACGATACAATGTCCGTAGAAAGTTTCGTTGCTTAGTTAAAACATCTAAGTATCACAAAATGGGGTAAGCATTTTAATGGAGTTTTATGATAAAGTTTAGACTAATTATACAAATATTTTATAATATCAGAATTATACAAGAGAGGCCTTAAAATATGTTTTGTTGATGCGTAAACAATGCGGATTTTGTGTGATAAGAAAATAAAAATAAAAAAGAAGTTTGATGTGTTGATTGCAATAACAATAAAATAAGATATTAATATAAATGTTGCCAAATCGAAATTGAAATTTCCCGAGAAAAAAGGGACGTTGCTATGTGTTGCGCCCAGCTTATAAATTGAATTTTATAGCAAACTATAAAATTCAATTTATAAGCTGGGCTTATAAATTTAAGGCAAACTAGGCACGAGCCTAGGGGCGAAAGGTCACAAAAAGCCGGCGCGGAAGATTTTAAATAGAAAAAAAAAACTACTTACTTGCATAAATTAAATAATCATACTTTCTATAGAGATGTAGAGCTTCCTATATCGCTCTCACTTTCTCATCGCATTTTTCATCCACGCCCGCCTGTTAAGGCTACACATTTATCAATTAAATTGTAACTAAACTATGTACATATTATAAATTATGATGTAATAAGTTTATATGAGGAGTATATTGTATGTTCGGGAAATTACGGCACATCTTCTCGTCCGGTATAACTCAAAACTTGAAGATGAGACTGTACAACCAGTGCGTGTTGCCAGTGATGACATATGGAACTGAGACGTGGTCCGTCACTGCTGGCCGGATGAGGAAGCTCAAGGTCGCTGAGCGAGCTATGGAGAGGTCTATATATATATATATATATATGCTCGGAATTTCTCTGCGTGATAAACTTAGAAATGAGGATATTCGCAGTAGAACCAGAGTGGCAATGGGCCGACCATATAGCTCGAAGAACCGACAACCAATTGGGAAAAAAGGTTCTCGAGTGGCGACCTCGTACCGGCGGACGAAGTGTAGGGCGTCCCCCCACTAGATGGACTGACGATCAGGTAAGACATGCAGGAAGTCGATGGATGCAGGTGGCTCAGGACCGTGCTTTGTGGGATTCCTTGGGTGAGGCCTATGTTCAGCAGTGGACTTTTAAAGGGTACAGCCCTTGATGATGATGACGTTTATATGAAAATTATGTAGGTAGTAATAATTTATAATATGGCCGTCAGAGGAGCGCCGATGAGGTAGCCTAGAGCGCTGTCGAAATTTAATCCGTCTCTGGTGACATCGTCTCTAATTTTTAATCACAATGGAAGATAGATGTGGGCATCTATGGGACACATCATCCACTTAACATTCTGTGCACTGTGTGCTCGTTTGTCACCTTTCTAAACTAATATTATAAGGAGAAAATATTTTTTATAATATATAAGGAGAAAATATTATTTGTCTATAATTAAAATTGAAGTGTCTGTTCGTAATGTCAAAATAACACCTTTTTTCTAAATGCACATGAAAGCATATATGGTACTCATAACAAAAATTAATTAAAATTTTGTCTGTCTATCCTGTCTGCCTGTTAGTTCTGGCTAATCTCCGAAATGGCTGGAAATATTTTGACGGCACTTTCACTGACAGATATCTGATGTTACAAAGAGTAGCTTAGGATACTTTTATTTTAGAAAATAAATTGGGTTCCGCACAATATTAAAACCCATGAAATCCGGGTTATGAGGTAACACATAAAAAAACATACAGTCGAAATGAGTACCTTCTCCTTTAAAATCGGTAGAAAAGAGACAAACATATATTTAGTTTGCAAGAGAATGAGACAGATTACAGTGTAATAAGCGACAGTAGCCTAATGGAACAGTGCGGACGGCGAACTCAAAAGGTTGCGGGTTCGAATTCGCCATTTGACTAATGTGAAAAATGTCTAACTCAAGCATTTTTAGCTTGCCAGTGGTGCTTAAATGGAATATTAGTAATGTTATTAGCTTTGATAGTTTTTTTTTTAAATACAGTGTTTTTATTATCTCGATCTCCCCTTTGTGCGGTGGTTTAAAGATGGTTACTTATTATAAATTTTAACTGTTAAAATAAATGATAAAAAGAATAACAAATTTATTAAATAAATAAAATTAACCATACATGAATAAAATTATCTTAATTATACGTGTATATATGTATATCAATCAATTCATAACAATTCACGATTTCATAACTTCAGGCCATCTGACGTCTATTTTACGTATCACCTTGAAAGTCTATTAATTTTGTTCGAAAAAATGACTTCACCTATAGAATGAAGTAGATGGCTGGATGGATTATTTTGATTTATTACACTAATATTAAGTCTGAAAATGAGGATGGCAACATTTATTTGCTACAAAATTAAACTTTTATCATATATTTATGCCATTATTATTAAAGAAGTCATTTGCTGTGAAATATTTTTATTTTTATTTCATTTATTTGAAGGTTTCACTTCTACCGCGTGTAAACTGCACACGTTTTTGTTTCTAACAGGTACTCTATCATCCTCTTGACAGCATTGCTCCTACGGAGTATGAGTATGATAGTAACTGGGAGTACCGTGATCGAAGCTAACCCAACTCCTCGTGTTGATGTTTTTGGTGAGTGTCATTTTTTCTTTAGGAACATTTAACCATAACCGTTACAGCCTACTAAAGTCCACTGCTAAACATAGGCCTTCCCCATAGATTGCCTCTTAGAGGGGAAGAGGCTATAGCTACGCTTGGCGATCGGGTTGGCAACCGCAGTTTTTTTTTTATTTTCGACGTTATTATAATATGAGATAGTGGATATAGTATACCGTCACTACACTATATTTAACGATAAAGAGCTAAGAATTTAGGCAGTGGAGTAGCGTGCCTTAGACTGGGCCCTGTATCAAAATTTGTCGGGGGGCCCAAATGAAGGGTAAAGATTTTTCACATAAGGAACAAAAACTCTCGCATTTAATTAAAATAGTTATATATTGATTATAAGTTATTGCTTATAATTAATACTCCTAGAAACTAAGCTAGCCAAACAATTCAAACCAACATCCTGTCCTTAGAATTTTTGCGTACATACGTTCGGGGCCTTTGTAGCCCGGGGGCCCCGTATCATTGATACGGCTGATACGGCGGTAGCTACGCCCCTGAATTTAGGTAACGTGGCGTCTGTCCCGCTAAAAATCTCTGAGTCGGTGCCACCTACTTAATTCCTTTTACTTATTTTGAAACTAACCTTACTGAGCCCAACTTTGTGTTCCGGTTTGAAGGGTAAGGGAATCAGTTCAATGTACAATGAACTAGAACTTTTCTCATGGGCTACTTCTTTGCTTTTTTTTATAGAATATGACTGGAAAACGAACACACAGTTCACTTGATGGTAAGTGGATGCTGTGACTCATACACTAAATTTATCCTCGATTAAAAATCAAAATACACATGCGTTATCGCCCTTGAGGACTAAGATGGAATTCCTCGTTTCTAGTTATAAGGGTCTCCGGTTTTCCACACTCATCATACGAAAAACAGCAGCATTAAGCTGTTATTTTACGCTGGTATTCGTGAGAGCGTGGTTTTACCGTGGTCTACCATAATAAAACTGTAGCATGACGCTACCACGTATAAAAAGTTGTTGTATTTTAGTAGTTTATCCAATTCGTCCTTAAATTCGTTTATTTTTTGTTTTGATATCACTTCTGATGGCAGCTTGTTCCATGCTTCAACGACTCTTTGGCTAAAACGTACTTGTTTGGGTTAATATGTAATACGACTTTAATCACTTTGAGATGATGCCACTAAGATGTGTGTAGTTTGAAAAATAAACATAATCACTTACGACTGTCACGTAGAGGGATAGCCAGAGACAACGGACTTCTATTTGGTACGATCTTGACACACGTCCACGACTCCTTTACATCCGTATACCTACGCGTACATGTTCGTCGGTTAAAGGTACTCTTAATCTGGCCCATCTTCAATATATCGTCAATTTAGCTGATAAACTTTCATCTAGGGCGTCCACTTCTGCAACACAGATTTGTTTTGTCACTCTTTCCTCATTCATTTTTTTTTACATGACTAAATCACCGAAGCATTCATTTTTTAATCCTGGTCACGAAATCATCTTGCAAGCCACACTTTTCTGTTACCACACAATTTCTCACGCTATCATTTAGATTTGTGTTATTTAGGTGCTGATATAATAGCTCGTCAAAATTTTCTAAATTATAGTCCTTTTACGATAGATCGATTATCAGTATTGCCTCTTGGTCGTGACCTCCGTGGCTTACGCATGCAGACCGTGCGGGCAACCGCGGCTTGGTTAGGGCAATTTTATAGATCATATGCATTTGTTATGCCCTTACCTAGTATATAATATTGCAGACCACCTCAAAAACATTAGTAGTTATATGTAGTGGCACGAAAGTCTAGCGGTGACCGTTACTGCGCATAAGTAACGCTGATTGGTTTATTGCGCATAAGTCGCGCTGATTGCCTCGTGTGTATCGTTCGCATGCGCTGATTGGCTCTCCAGGCGCATTCGTGCAATTCAATTCGTGTGCGTCCCCTGCACAGTTTCGTTCAGTGTTCAGTTCACTCACGGTACTTGCATACGAGCCGCCACTTGTACGCAAGTATCGCAAGTATAAATCGCGTTGTAAAATTTAAATACCCATACCCAAGCTATGTACCATAATTTTTATATTCTACGCGTGATTCAAAATTTATTATTTTGATTACCTAAGGTGGTATAGGTTTTTGATGAGTATGTCAGTAAATTAGTGAAAGAGTGAGTGATAAAAATTGAATTTTTTCAGACCATAATAACTCAAGAACTATATGAGACTTGTTAATTATATTTTGTATTTTAGTTTCGGTATTCAAATTACCATTAGGTATTCAAATAGTTCGGGTAAATGTACACAATTCCGGTGCGAATCTTTTTATACTGCGAATTCTTTGTTGACACAATGTTGTGTGTCTAAACTCTAAATTGGCATTGCTCAAAATACTATAAAATGCTTATTTAATTACAGGGCCTACGTGCAAAATGGATGATGGGGCTGAAGGTATTTGCGTACCCAACTATCAATGCAATCCGGAAACAAATGCTATAGACAATACTACATTCGTCGACCTACGGTGAGGAGTACGGTACCTTCATCATAATTATCATCGATGTATATAGGTGATGTTAAATATTTTTTTTAAGATCAACCTTGCCAGCAAGTGACCTAATAACGTTGTACTAAGAACGACAAGTTAGTCTATTGCGACCTTAAAATAATTATTTGTTTATTCTTTTTTGACTGCCTTTGTTCGTCTAGCGGTTGTAAACGCGACTGTTGACCATGAGGTGCTGGGTTCGAATCCAGGGTCGGGCCAAAAAAATCAGTTATAGAAGTTTTCCGCCAAGAAAATGTCAGTAGACACCCGGTCTTCCTAACTTGTTGGCGGTGTACGTAAAGCTGTTGGTCCTGCGCCTGATCTCTCCGATTGTGTCGGTTTACCGTCCCATTGGACTATGAGAGTGAGGCAACAGAGAGTGCCGGGTACCAGCTATTATATACTAAGACGATGTAAGCGATAAATATTGAATAGTTTGTACATAACAATTGTCGTGTGATAGAGCCATGCTGCAGCTATATTAATAGTATAGTAGTAGCACGAATGGATCGGCTCGACCGGGGAATGACCACGCTCTCACAGAATACGAGCATAAAATAGCAACTTAACGCTGCTGTGTTTCGCATGGTAAGTGTAGAGAACCGGAGACCCTTTTTACTGGAAAAGAGGCATTCTATCTCAGTTCTCACGGCTGACAACGCATCTGCATTTTAATTCGCAAACGACGATAGATGTAGATGTCTATGGGCCACAGCAACTACTTACGATCAGGTGGACTGTGTGCTCGTTTGTCACCCCTATTCTATAAAAAAAAAAAACAATTTTATATGATTATATTTTCTTGTTTCATACTTTTGAACGTTATTCTTCAGTTGTCGGATTTTAGTTGTTAAACTTTCTTTTTACTAACGTAGTTGTTTTCACTTTGCACCTATAATATCTTCTCTGCTTAACATGGTGGTAGATTGGTAGTGAATGCCTTATTGCATCAAGTCTGCCTTTTTGTACTTGATGCACAAATAGGCGATATTAGCGTCCATGTGATCCCTATTGATTATAAGCAAGTTGAAATAGCGACGTTTGTTTGCAGAATTGGCACGTGTCCCCACTACTTGCAAGTTTGCTGCTTAAATTCCAATTTGGCGAAGCCCAGCGAGCCAAAAGAAGAACTACCCCGCTGCGGCTGGAGCAACCCTGGAGCAGCGGGATTGAAGAGCAAGGTATAAGTAGCACATATTTCTATAGTTAACATATTATAACTACAAAAACCAAAAAGTCAATCGGCCGCCTACAAATTGACGAAAATTACATTAAAATATTTCGTTACATACATACACGCGAAAGTAATGAAAGCGTAATGATTTCTTATATTTACGCGAACACTACACATTGAATAAAACTATTTTTTACGGATTTAATCGCGTTCAATTTAACTATTTTAATTCCCGATGTTTCTGATGCTTTACAGCAACCCATGGTCACGGGAGGGGACTGAGATTCGATTTTTGAATATTTATTTTTGGTCCAATCTACGCAGAATGAGCTTACAGTATCTTCTTCTATCTTATCAGTATCAGCAGTGGTATGTTTGTGTTTGCATTTAATTTTCTTAATTATAGGATCCCAAGCAGATGGCAGCACCCATCCATTTTCTCTATTGAACTAAGGATGTTTTTTTAATTTCACTAGCCTCGCGAAAATAAGCCATGGGTTGCTATAGAGCAACCGAAACATCGGGAATTAAAATAATAAAATCCGTAAAAACAGTTTTATTCAATAAAAGCGTATTTCAAAAGCTTTGTACATTTTTTTTATAATCTTTTATTAATATTATTATTTATTCTATCAGTTTTCGGATTCTACAAAATTGTATCTTTTTGCTGGAATATATATCCTAGATGTCTATCGGCATTGCTCTCTATTTGGTCGTGAAGTTTCACTACAATAGGATCAACCCAGACAGATCGACAAAAAATTAAAAAATAGTTATTCATATCATGATTATTGAGTGGACTTAGAAGCAGTAATAAGTAAAAACATTGTATCTTAACTAGACGAAAACCTACATAGAGAAGAATCCCCTCACCTAAAACAACTGTGTGTAGTCCACCGCTGTAACCTTAACTTTAAAAAGTTTGTGTATTAGATGGTCCACAGACATCTGCGTTCTATTTTCGATTGAGAAACAAAATGAAGATGCGTTGTTACCCCCAGAGAAAAGACAGGCAGTCTTATTACGAGCACGAACCGCAAACTTGAAAGCTGTGGGTTCGAATTCACTACTGTGGTGAACCACTTGTGGTGGGCAACCACTACTGACATACATATAACCCCTTCATTTTAATGAAAGGCATTTATTTCGATATTACTGACAGACACTTCAAATTTACCTATATGTATAGATTTATAAATGTATCATTAAGTTATACCTCAGAGTAATAACATATTTATGTGCTAACGAGCTGTTCTCGCGAATGCGCCCGCTTGTAATTTAGGGTTTTAATTATGTTGCGCGGAATCCTAATTCTTTTTCTAAAATATAAATAGCCTAAGTTACTCCTTATAACATCAGCTATCTGCCAGGCAAAGTACCGTCTAAATCGGTTCAGCTGTTTCAAAGATTAGCCGGAATAAACAGACAGACAGAGAAAAATTTTAAAAATGTCTTTTATGTTATAAGTACGGTATATACTTTCATATGCATTTAGAAAAGATCTGTTATTTTGATATTACAAACAGAGACACTTCAATTCATTGAGTTATATGTACTACGTACTAGAGAAGCCATTCCGAACATTGACTATGTTCAACTGTAGTGCAATCCATACAAACTAAATATTGCGTAAATTGAAGATTTGTGAATTCCATAAAACAATAATTATTACATTTTATTTAGAAATATCTTTGTTTAGATTAAATTAAGATATTTTATATTAAATTCTTATATTTATTTTATATTAATATCTTATTTTATATCAAATTAAAGTCTTCGCGCATGCGCGACTACTACTCCCGCGCATGCGCGAAGACATAGAGTAGGACACAATTTTTGTTTGGAATGGCTTCTCTAGTACGTAGTACATATAACTCAATGCTTCAATTTTATTTATTTGTATAGATTCCTCTGAGGCGTGTATATTACGAAACCACCGCTGTAAAACATTATTACATAAAAATTAACAAAACCATTTAGAATATGTAATAAAAATTGTCTCGCTAGGTTTCGAGCTGGGTTTTCCCAGGACCATCTAGTAGGTACCAGCAAGAAAGCTAATCTAATCGGTCGAATAATTTTAGATATGGTAGGGCCACGCTGCACCTATATTATAGCTCCAGCATGAATGCATCGACTCGACCGGGGTAGGACCATCACCATCACAAAACACAACATCAGCGTAAAATAGCAGCTTAATGTTGCTATGTTTTGTATGAAGATCCTTTTTACTGGTAACCAAGCATTCCACCTTAGTTATCAGGGAAGACAGCGCATCTGCATTTTGGTTCTTAATCGAGGATAAATGAAGATGTCTATGGGCCACAGCCAGCACTTTACTAGGTGGACTGTGTTCTTCTTTGTCACCCTTATTCTATAGAAAAGGTTTTGTAAAAAAAAAGCTGTCTCGTTGGATTTCTTGCTGGTTCTCCCCGGAACATAGGTACAGTACACTGATGGTAGGTATATTATTTATAATTTATATCACACTGAACAATTTTTTTTAATCCCGTTTCTACAGGAAGGTGAAAATATTGGTACGGCTGATTTCGCGGAGTTTCCTTGGATGGTTGCTATATTAAGGTAAGCTCTTCTCTTTTACCAGGTAGTAACTGTCCAGTATGGAGCAGGCTATGCTTGGGGTTTCTCTGCGTGATAAACTTAGAAATGACGATATCCGCAGTAGAACCAGAGTAACCGACATAGCCCAACGGATTAGTAAGCTGAAGTGGCAATGGGCCGGCCATATAGTTCGTAGAACCTACCACCGATGGGGAAAAAAGATTTCCGAGTGGCAGCCTCGTACCGGTCGGCGAGGTGCAGGGCCCCCACACCCCACTAAGTGGAGTGACGACCTAATAAGACATGCAGGAAGTCGATGTATGCAGGTGGCTCAAGACCGTGCTTTGTGGCATACCTTGGGGAAGGCCTATATTCAGCAGTGGACTTGTGACGGACTGTAATGATAATGATGAACTATCCACTATATGGTGAAGTGGTGGTGTAAGAATATCCACTACCCTATATGCCATGTGTGTCGTAAGAGGCGACAGAGGGAAACAAATCACGAGGTGGGCAGCAGTGACTTACTAATATCGACTACAAAACAAACTGCGGTTGCCAACCCGCTTGCCAAGCGTGGCAAGTATAGCAAATATCTCGGGACTAGGGTTACCATATCTCAGGATTTGTCCTGAGATTTCAGGATTTTTAGGCTCTTCTCAGGATTGCGGCTGGACTTTGCAAATCTCATGAAATCTCAGGATTTTTAGAACTTTCAATATAATACAGCTTACATTTTAAAGATCTCTTTAATAAAAAGTTAAACAAACTAAAAATTATTTTCCTTTGGTAATAATTCCACAATTAAAATCAAAACTTATTTATCCAAGTAGGTACTTAAACAGTTTTATCATACTTAATATGTGAAGATACCTTTTTAAGTGAGGTTTTCTTCTCAAACTGTAAAAAAATCTCAGGATTTTTAAATGGAAATCAGGCCTCTTCTCAGGACTTTTAATTTTTTCATCTGGTAACCCTACTCGGGACTTAAGATTCGACTTTAATAGGCTGTAACGGTAACGAGTAACTGTTCGTTGTAGGTAGGTAAATAATTAAATGCGTAAAATAGCGCCTCAATGCTGCTTGTGTTGCGTATGGTGAGTGTAGAGAACCGGAGACCTTTTTTACTGGATAAGAGGCCACTGAGTACTTTTTATAAACCGGATAAGACGCATTCCATCTTAGTCCTCAGGGGTGATAACGCATCTGCGTTTGGATTCTTAATCGAGGACAGATGTAGAAGTCTATGAGCAACGAATAAAAAAAATCATATTTTTAGTTGTTATTAAGACGCTGCCCATCTCTTTTTTTTTCCTCTTTCCCCTCTCATGATATCCACAGTACGATACGGAGTAGTGGATATCCTTATATTGCACATTGAATCTCTTCATCGTTGGTCTGTATAATTTATAAGTAGTGTTGCCCAAAATCGGTATTGGACTTGCAGTCGTGTTCGTCGTGTTCGTCCTGCATTTTTGCAAGACCAAGACCGCATAATTTTAGCAAGACTAAGACCAAGACTGACCGTGTAAGATTTGAGCAAGAACAAGACTAAGCCTGCGAGACTCTTGCGTCTTGCAGTTAGGACTGAGTGTCGTTTCAGAGAATATAGGAGTTCGGGTATAACCTTAGGGATTCTATAAGCAAAAAATATATTAAAGAATTTGGAAAATTGAATTTATGGGCATTTCAAATAATACCATAAACATACATAGTGAATGAAAATATCCATTGAAAGAAAAAAGAGTGCATCCTTAGTTTTGACCATCGGCATTTTGATAGCGCTTGGTGTCTAGTTATCGGCATCATCAAAGTCGGATACAGACGTGTCAAAGAAATTTTGCAGCAATTCGGAAGTACAAGATCAAGATACACGCGCCGGCAGCTTCTATTGAAATCGCATACAATCGTTGCCGCCGCGCCGCCCGCACAACATTAATTTGACACTGTTTGATTGCCGCCATAGAGTACATGTTCCAAAGAATAAAATAAGTTTCCGGGTGCTCAGAATGGACACGAATACATTATGCTAATCTCACAAGGAATATTGTAATTAGATAATGGTAAGGATAGTTAGATATCATAATAATTTATTCTAATAAGTAATTATTATAATATTAACCATACGGGTTTATAATAATTATTTACTATTATTATTATTATTACCTAATAGACAAACATGTTTAATATTTTCACTGCAAATCTCGATTATTGGAAGTGTGTGTTTTTAAACACAAAGTGCTCGAATATGTCGTCACTCAATATTGTAGACACTTTTAACAAACTTGAAACGTATAAAAATTTTCTACAATGCTAATCGTGTTATACTATTCAAGACCAGATAGAAAATAAAACAGTTTTTCCAACTATTACACTTTATTTCACTTCACAATTTAACTTATACACAATTCAGTTTAACTTCACGTCTAACTACGACGACAAGCGTTGAGCGAATGCCACTCCCAATTGACTAATCAACCTTTTGCACTTGTTAGCAAGGTGGGGCGGCGTCATTTCTTCCACACTCTTAAATTCCGTTTTGTGATTCCGTTTCGGAATCCCGAATCGGGATTCCGTGAATACATCACACACACACGTTTTTTTCCGTTCGGAATAACAAGGGTCAGTTGAGAGACGTTAGCCATTGAGTCTAGACATTCTGCCAGCAAATAATGACGACGATTTTCTAATTGCAAATTCCATTGTTGCTGTATTATTCTTACTAGGTGCATCCCCTTATCACCATAAGCTTGCAATATAGTCAATACTATGTAAAAAGATCTATCTATCCAGAGATATTTTTTAAATATTTATGTATGTAAATTCTATCGAGGAATTATTAAATAAAATAAGATGAAAGGTTACAAAAAGCTATACACCTACAAGATTAAATGTAAAAACATACATAAATACATCTACTCGCTTCGGTCGAGCGACGAACACTGAGCGCATTCCGTACGGAATTTACGTATGTGTGTTGCGACTCGTACAAAATCTATGGAAGACGTGCGTTCGGAGCGGATTTATTCCGTTCGGGATCCCGAACGCACAGATGGTCATACGGAATCTCGAATCGGAGAAATTCCGTACGGAAAAATAGCGTACGTGTGTGGCGGGTCATAGAGTTTATATGGACTTGCTGCGTTCGGAATCCCGAATCGGAATATCGAAACGGAATCTCGAAACGGAATTCCGTACGTATGTGGCCTTACAGCAATCAAAACATTATCCTTCCGGTTAAATTATATTACTCTACCCATTATCCGCAATCATTAATGTAAGCAACTAATAATCATTATAGTATAAAGTCAAATCACTTATCGAGTAATTCCGTTAAAAACAATAATATAATGGTTATTAACCTAACAATAGTAATTATAGTATAAAGTCAAATCACTTATCGAGTAATTCCGTTATAAACAATAATATAGTAGTTATTAACTTAACAATAGTAGTTATTTATTAACCTAACAATCGAATAATATAAAATAAAAATTGTGTAATAACATCTATGTACTGCTTAGGACCCCGAGTATCTCTCAGAGAACTGTTTAAAGAAATTGATATCTTGACTGTTGCATCACAATATATTTTTGCAGATATCATGTATGTACGACACAATGTCTATACGTGGTAGAGCCATGCTGCAGCTATATTAATAGTATAGTTGTAGCACGAATGGATCGGCTCGACCGGAAAAGGATCACGCTCTCACAGAATACCAGCGTAAAATAGCAGCTTAATGCTGCTGTGTTTCGTATGGTGAGTGTAGAGAACTGGAGACCCTTTTTACTAGAAAAGAGGCATTTATCTTAGTCCTCACGGCTAACAACGCACCTGCATTTTAATTCGCAAACGAAGATAGAAGTAGATGTCTATTGTCAAAGCAACCACTTGCCATCAGGTGAACTGTGTGCTCGTTTGTCACCCTTATTCTATAAAAAAAAAAACATTCACTTGCATGTAAAGAATAGTGATTTGCACAATTTTAAAATAAAATCACATTCCTGCTTTCCGGTTACACAAAGTATATAATTTGTTCTTGGGTAGCGGCATACGCTTTTATAACAAGATTCCAAAAGAAATGTTAGATCTTTCAGCTTTTCAATTTAAGTCGCACATTAAAGTTTGTTTAGCCAAAAAAGCATATTATTCTGTAAATAATTAATGGAACGAAGTTCTTTATCGGACGGTACGGGTTTGCTGGATGGGAGCTAGGCGACAAAGAGCACAGACAAAGAGTGTAAGATTTTTTCGTCACTACCCTTTGTCTCATAGTTTATACGGCCTTGGCGGCGAAATAAGGACGGGAGATGGAATAATATCCATCTCCCTCGCACTTTTTCTTATCTTGCCATGAAAGAAATATTATTTTACTTCAAATGACGCTTCATTTTAATAGACGCTATTAATTGATTTATTTGTACTTGTTAATCAATAATATAATACGTTTATCAATAATAATATACCACGCAAGGAACTTCGTTCCAACCTAGTGTTCCACGACACTCACGCATTTTCTTAGTTACAAAATACTTGGAACTGACCTCTCGAACTACACAGGACTAACTAGAAATTTCTATATACATAATATACATAAATATTTGCATATACCTTATTTATATACATTTGACATATTATGTTTGAATTATTGCTTCACATAATTAGAATAGAATAGAATAGAATATTTTTGTATTCAATATAGATCAGAAGTGTAATTCTCATTGAAAGTCATTTTTTACTTTACCACTGGTTCGAAAAAAACCCTCTGTCCTGGGAATAACCAGCAAGAAACCCAGCGGGACTTTTTTTTAAATAAATTTTACAATATAAATGATTACAAACTATTTACAAAATTTATTTTAGAAACTGCTTGGAAGCGACCACCTCATTCCCAGGGGTTATTATAAACCATGTATTCATTTATACTATAATAACCCTTTTTATACAGTTTCAGCTTAACAAAACATTTAAACTTGGTAATAGAGAGAACCTGTACACTTTTCGGGACCTTATTGTAA